CTGGCCGCTGAGCCCGCTGCGGCTGCGAAATGAACGTGATCGGAGATTACCGGAAATTCCAATTTAATGGCCCGTGAAGAAACGTTCTGCGGGATGCTGAGAATAAAATGGCGCCCAGGGCAAGGACTGCGCGAGGTCCGGTGGTTCGCCCTGTGGTTCGGCAATTTGCTGCGTTTGTGGTTGGCGAATGAAGGCTACTGCCACCCTCTTATATGGTCTACCCTTGGCCTCAAGCGGGTCTTGATGAGGACGTAGTCCACCACCCAAGGATGTGCCCAGATGAGGTTTCAGAGGCGCAACGTCATAGGGCGTGCAGGCTGTGTCTCGTGTGGACCTGCCTCCTGCCCACTTACTCCCGTATCCAGCCGAGCGAGTCGAAACACCCCAAAGGTCACTTGCACAGCCACGCTGGCGACCCATCACTCTGTAAGTCAGCCAAAACTACAGAGAGCGGACGCGCTTTGGAGGCGGGAATGGCAGAACCAAAGCCACTGCCTGGCCGTCACCTCCTTGCTGGGTGATGCGGCGGAAGCCTGGCCCGTGCAGCCAGCTCCATACTATGGATCATATGGCGCCAAACACCAGCACATCAGTAGTTAGCGAGAAGCAGCAGGTAGGGCTCAAGTCTTTGGGAGGGGGTGAGAAGACATAGAGGGTCCAAAAGAGTTGTAAGTCAATGATAACCATCATTTGGTAGTCTTTCACAGCGTTTTCGAGAGATCATTCATGCCACGTAGAGCTGGCTGTGCGGCCGCATGCTTGAAGCGAGGGCAAGAGTGTCGATTGACCTTGCACTCTATGCAATGGGTTGATGTTTATTAAGGCCTTGTATGGCCTTGCTTCGTTGGGGGGAGAATCTCCCCAGGGAACAGCCTGTCCAGGCAGAGCCGGCCCGTCTCGAGCTGAAGATGGCCACTAATGCCAACCTGAATCGACTGTTGAAGAGGATCAGTGCTACAGACATCCCGTTGAGAGCATGCCTTCTGTCCAGACCCCACAAAGCAACCTTCACTTACGAACAAACCCCCACCCCCCCAAATCTCTTCACAAGAGGGAACTTTCCAAGCGTGGTCCTTCGCCCACTCCCTCGCACCCACCCACTTTTCGAGTCCAATCACAAGGTCTTCGCCGACTTCTTCGATCACATTCGGTCTTTTGATCTTTTGGATCCTGGCCTTTAGCATCAATAAGGTGATGGCCTCTCGCATACTCTGCTCGATGGCGCCAACCCATGACTGCTGCGGGATCGCCTTTGTCGCAGTTAGCGAAGTTGCGCGAAAATGTGTCTGATAAACCTACCTCTCGACCTTTCTCGCGTGCGCGTCGGTTCCTATCCTTCAGTACCACTTCCGATCTGTATGCCCAGCCAACTACTATGAGGTTCGCGAGATATAGACCCATCGCGCTACGATCTAGAAGGATCTCCTAAAAGAGGTCGCGAACTTTCTTGAGTAGCTCCTCCATGCGGCCGTCCTCGATTTTATCTACTGCGCCCGTAGCAAGTCGAGGTGTGGGACATTTGCCGGCAAGTCTTTCTGCATCCCACGGCAAGGGCTGGATCCCGAGCGTCTCTTCGCTGATAATGAATCCAGACCCAGTCTTGAAGTCTTGAAATGGTTAGTACGTTGACTGTATCTGTAAAGAGAGATTATACATACGGGTTCCGAAATCGTACTCCACCAGTAGCAGCAAGCGTTCGTGGTACTTGGTTCTCTAGTCGAGGAGTCAGCGTGAGGCGTTAGAATAGGGTGGGGGTTTACGCTACTTTCTCCTCATGTAACTTCACGAAGATCTTCATGGGATACGATCCATGTGAGGACTTTTCCCATGGGAGTGCGTGGGTTTCCGACCGGGCTACGAGAGCCTCAAAGACGGCCTTTGGATCTTCAATCATGTAATTCGGGAGGGGATGTGTTGAAGGCAATCCATCTTTGCTGACGTAGTTCCGATGCAGCGGGTCGCCATCACGAGGAATGACCTCAATCACAGAGAAAACGAGTGATGCTTTCTCGAAAACCTGACCGTCAGGATCTTCTATGGCGATCTCGATATCTTTCGGAGCTCCAATCTTGTCTTTGTCAGGGACCAGTTGACCTGATTTTTGACGTTCTCTGTTGCCCTGGAGATCGTTCAAACCCTTCTTGCGATGGAAAATAAGCGTATAAAGTGTCTCCATATTGTTACTGTGAAAGGTCCGGGTTTGCTGAGAGATTTGGCAGACGCTGAGATCGGACAAAGAGAAGTGCTATCCTTCATGTTCCCCAGGGAAGCTGCTTGCAGATACATGTAGAATTACCGGCAAGCCTGGCTGATTAAGGAGGAGGGGGAGGTGGCACGCAGTCGGTGTGACACACCTGCTAGATGACGATGAGGCGCAATGCTGGTTCTAGCCCAAGACGTCACCCACCAACGCTTCGACAACACTGGCCATGCTCAAAGCTGACAACGACCCATGTCGATCACGCACATGCCAGGGATCGGAAGGCGAGCAGCCCGGGTGGCTGCATTCAATCATTCACTAATAGGGAGATGGGCCTGTGTTGATCTTGTGAACCGTTGCGCATGAGCCGAGGGAAGGGGGAGGGGGGGGTGAGACCTTGGTCGTAAGCCGTCAGACCAGCACCAGCCTGGGTCCCCTCACATCAAGGCTCCCATACCCTTGCCAGCAGGTCTAGATCAAGCCGAAAGTCGTGGCAACAGGCTGCAGTGTATTAGATGTACAGGGCTCTGGCTGGGGTGTATGTTCGGCCTCTTGCACTCAGTGCTGTCCTATTACAGGCTGCGGTCTCCTTCTTGTACCTTAACATTTGAAAGGGACAGCAAGAAACTTTATGTCCCCATTAAGACCCTCGATGGAATGCCCACGAGTGATGAACATCGGGGTCTGCAGGAACTCCAACTCTTGCCGGCTTCCGTCCATGTACAAAGCGACTTTAGGTTGATCCACGGCCTCGGGCACCCAAGGGAACATCGCCAAGCCTTCATTTGCCCCCGCCTTTATGATACCACTCTTGAGCCAAAGAAATTGTGCTTCGAAGATTGACCGAATCTTGACTCCGCTCTCTTCCAGAATTTCTCTGGCCCGTTGCGTCTTTACCTATCAGCCCAATTCATTTGAGACAAAAACGGGTGTACTTACAAACGCATCTTGTATTTGGCGGAGTAACAGCGCATGTTCTTTAGGACAGTCGATTATGTCTACAATAATATCGTTTACTACGACATATGGCTTCCATGGCATTACGCCGGTACAGAAGACTCTGCCTTGTTCCCGTAGGTCTTCGAGGCTCACCGAAGCCTCTCTTTGCCCTGCTTGGACGGCCTTTGTGCCATCGGCTTGGTCGGAGTCTTGCAAGACGATACGAAAGAATTCACTCCTCGCTTTCATGTGGGGGTCGGGTTTGGGCGGCTCCATGGCGTCAACGAGCAGGCAAGCTGAAGCGAGGCATGTGAGAAGTGACTGGGAGCAAGGTCGTTGTTCAGAAGACGAGATGTCATGTAGAGGTGGGAGAGTCTTCTTTCCAAACTTGCATGGCTTTAATATGTAAATTGTCGGACGACCTGTCCCAGGTTGCTTACGTGCCTCGGGGCAGAAAGAGACGTACCGCGCAAGCACAGTCATTCCATGCAATCCATGCTCTCAGCTGGAATCTTACCTTGATCCGCACGCGCCCGGGACGGACGGATACGTCCCGAGGCGTATCCAGCCTTCCAACTATGTAACGGTGCATGCCAAGAACAGCTGGTTACTCAAGTCGTCTTCAGGGGAAAGAAGTCGGTCAGGCAAAGTACAAGGCTTAACAGGGATAGCTACCACATTCCCGCACTAACAGGCATAATCGTGTGCATGGGTCGAGTCCAGCGTCCTCGGGGAGGCTGCCGGTCTGGGTCCAGGACATAATTAGCGATCATGGAACAGGGAACGCCCCTTGTTAACCACCATAACATGCAGGAGTAACACGCATACCTACCTGATCTGGCCTTCGTGCATACGTGACCGACAGTGCAGTGCGGCCATTATGCCACAAGAGCCTTGCGTGTCTTCGTGCTGCACGATGGCGTCTGTGCCCACCACCATATACGGCACCCTGGCCCTGCATCCCCGACGCGCGAGCCAGCCGAGAACTGCAAGATGTAGCCATTGCTAAAGCACAAGCACTCACCGCTGGTCGATCGGGGCGGCTCGCGGTCAGGTCATGCAGCAGACCTCTGTTGGTTCGGCTTGTCCAGTCCTCCCGGTGCAACCGCCACATCACATCTGGCTAACCCAACGAGGTAGTAGGTCGAATTTGGAGAGCAAGGTCAAGACGCAGGAAGACAGGGCAACCGCCATCATACCGCTGATTTCACGGTTCAACTCCTGATAGGCTGCGTGTCTTCGACTGCGGCGCCTCCCTGCATGATGCGCGGATGATCCTGGCCGATCACATGTGGTGAAGCACTGGTAGAGGGGGTAGCTGCAGGATGTTTCTCAGAAAGGTGGCTATTGCGGCGAGAGATGTCAGCGATACAGCCATGCCATCGGGCTTGAAGGGTGCTTCTCCATCGGACTTGCCTGCTTGGCGCGAAGTTGCGGCTCGCTGGCTCGCCTGGAGCTGGTGCGACCTCCAAACAGTGAATTTCGGTGACTGCGGTACAGGACGTTAATGCACTCTGCTGAGGCCCTGCGGTTGCGGCGCAGTCATGTTGACCGCGGAACTTGTTGAAAGAACTCCGTTCTGCTCAAACACCGGCTTTGGCTGGAGAGTGACTCCTCGGCGGATGTGCAGATGTGTTAAACAACTCAGCGTGCCTTCAACGGGCTGTGACCACGGAAACTTCTCCAGAAAAGCAAGCTCATAGAGGCGCGTTCTTGTATTCACTCGTTTCATAAACGGAATCGACAATCTACATTGCCGCCCTCGCTCAAAGCATGCAGCCGCGCAGTCAGCTCCACATACCATGAATTCAATGTCAAAAAGCGATGGCGAGAGACGCGCAAGGTGATGATTGCCATGGAGTTAATGCTCCGCCGAACCATCTGTCTGCCTTCTCGCTACTGTATCAAGCTCCTGCTCCTCCTTCAACCGCTTCTTCTCCTGGTCCAACTGCTCCTGCTTCTCGATCAACCGCTGCTCCTGCTCGTCCAACCGCTGCTCCTGCTCGTCCAACAGCTGCTCCTGCTCGTCCAACCGCTCCTGCTCGTCGATCAACCGCTCTCGCGCCTCGTCCACCTTGTTCTGCTCCTTGATCAACTGCTCCTGTAACTGATCCAAGCGCCGCTGCCGTTCAACATAATCCACGCGTGCGTTCTCTGCCGCAACCGGGCACATCCCCTTGCAGAACTTCGGCAGCAGGTCGCTCGTCTCGTCGTTCATCTTTCCTCTCCTGTACGATGCTTTTTTCAGGATAAAAGAGACAAGTTGTTGTTCTTATTGGTGATCTTGTTGGTGTTCCTGTGGTATTCTTGTTGGTGTTCTAGCGCTGTTCTTGTTGCTGACTCTGTCGCGCGTGCTACTGTGGTCTGCTCCGCAAAGTGTGAGGAAGGAGGGGAAGACCATCTCCGGATGGGCCTGAGCAGCGGTTTGCCTTTATATCGGAAGCCAGACACTTGTGCCGAGAGTCGGGCTTCAAGGACCTGGTTTGTGCCAAGAGTGGTGCGCGCCCCAGTGGATACAGTTGGACTCCCTGTCATGCGGCCCAAGGTGTGCTGGCGGTTTGGCAAGAGGCTTCCGGCGTATACGTCCACATGTATGATTGTGTACATGGGTGAGTTTGGCCGTCCCCGGGAAGGCTGCGGGCTTGCTTCCAAGACACAATCAACGATCTATGCAAAAGGAAGCACCCTTGCTAACGACCGTGGCTCGCAAGTATGAGGAGCATCACTACCTGATTTGGTCCTTCGTGCATGGTGACTGACAGTGATGTGCGGCAATTACGCCACAAGAGCCTTGCGTGTCTTCGTGCTGCACAATGGTCTCAGTGTTGGTCCAACGATTTCTTATCACAGCGGTGCCCCCCTTCATGTACGGGATTTCAGCCTTGCATCGTCGATGACGCAATCATAACCACGACAGCCACAGCACCAGCAGCGGGGCCGGGGTGGCTCCTGAAGACGCAGCAAAGGCAGCAGCAAGCTTCTTTCTGCAGAGCCCATCTCCAGCAGCAACCACGGAGATGCTGGAAGCATATACATTGGATTCAGGAATGCCAGGGTTCTATGAAATGGTACTTTATTTAATAACGGAAGCGCACTCTCTTCGTTGAAGAAGGATTCCCTTGAGGATTGCCTGTTGAAGGCGTGCCGGCTGTCGGTCTTCGACGCGGCGGAAATGTCCTGGAAGTTGCTGAAGGAGGCAACTTAAAACATGTTCAGAAGTCCAGAAATACCCCAATGCCCTTTTGACTTGCTTGCCGTGCGCTCTATTTCAAGTCTGAGCATTTCCAGAGCCCATTGGGGCTTTTGAACCCATTTGAATTGCAAATTTGCCTCGTACTCAAGTTAGCTGGGTTTAAATACGTATCCACCCCACCGACTCACCTCTGCGCCATTTGTCCAGAATAATTCGAGCACTGCTTTGAGGCCTTTGTAGATCAATTTCGCGAGATCCTGCATCTCGGGATCTTTGATGATCGGTACGAGGGAAGACCCAGCGTGGCCGTCAGCTACTAGGAGCGAAGTTACCAAGATTATGATTTCCGCGTTCTGGAGCCTATCGGCATCGTATGCGAAAAGTTGCAGGACTGCGTCGCGCACAGGCGTGTCTCCAGGGATCCGTGAGAGTTCAAAGGACGGGCGTCCTGCTGTGTCCGCTGTGATTTGTCAATCACCTGACATCCGCAAGAAGACATGTCCACTTACCGATTCTGTACATGAGTTCCAGCAACTCCGACAATGCCGGCTTGTGTTCCCTGTATCTCTCGTCCGCGAGGGCAGCCAGGATGGCTTTTGAGGCGGGGCCAAACTCTTCCGCCCAGGTTTCCTTGTGCTTTTCATAATGATCACTGATCATCATCTTCAGTTGGTCCGGATTGCTTGGTGCGAAATTGCGGCCCTCTGGGTCTCCGGGCGCTTGTTTGACCTCCCGAACAGGGACTTGCAGCGGCTCCAGTGGAAGAGTGCGTCCTCCAGCATACACAATGTTGTACCTTGCCGTCCTTTCGGGACCAAACATTTCTTCGCTAGGAATCAGAGGCATGTCGGGTTCTGGCTCCGGTCGGTCACCCCTGAGCCCTTCCTGGACTGGTCGCCAGAATTTGGCTTCCAATCTCCAGTTGGGGTCATAGTCGGCTGAGGTGAGTGTAACTACCGTCATGTTGTTGGCGTGTAGACAAGCTCCGCTGAGGCAGGTGAGAAAAGACTGGGACAAAAGCGTTGTTCAGAAGATGAGATGTCAAGTAGATGTGGGAGATTCTTCGTCCCAAACGTGCATGGCTTTAATACTAAAACTCTGGAAGGACTTGTGCGAGGTTGCTTGCGTGCCTCAGAGCAGGAGGAGACGTGCCACGCAAGCACAGCCATGCTCTCGGCTGGGATCCTGTCTTGATCCACACGCGCTCAGGATGGGCGGATACATCCCGAGGCGTGTCCAGCCTTCCAGCCATGCACGGTGCATGCCAAGGACATCTGATTGCTCAACTTGCTTTCAGGGGAAGGCATAACGAGGCTGGGAAAAGAGGTCGGTCAGGCAAAGTACAAGTCTCAACAGGGAGAGCTACCACAGTACCGCACCAACAGGCATGATCGTGTACAAGGGTCCAGTCCAGGCATCGCCGGGGAGGCTGCCGGTCTGCGTCCAGGACACAATCAACGACCAATGCAACAGGTAATGGCCTTTGTTGGCTACCACAGCTCGCAAGAGTGACACGCATCACTACCTGATCTGGCCCTTCGTGCATGAGTGACTGATAGTGACGTGCGGCCATCACGCCACAAGAGCCTTGCGTGTCCTCCTGTCGCACCCTGGTCTCAATGCCCTCTTTCATGCACGGCGCACGGCACCGTGGCCCTGCGGCCTCGACCCGCGAGCCACTCGTGAAACAGTGAGGCCTTAACCATTGCTGACGCAAGCACTCATTGCCAGGAAGCCACTGCTGTTGGGTCGTATTTCATTGTATGCTTCTGGTGCAAGCTCCAGGGTTGCAGGGCGCGGACACACACTCCGGAGGCGGGAATACCACAACACCGGCTAGTGCCTGGACGCACCCTTTTTGCTGGTTAATCCAGCGGATGACTAGTCCATGCAGCCGGGTCTGGACTGTGAACCCCATGGCGCCAACCGCCAGCACATCAATAGCTAAACGAGAGGCAGCAAGTATGGCTTCGCAGTCCGGGCCTTGAAGCCAGATCCGCCGAGGGTGGAAGCTTTGTAAAGACGTTGAAGGAATGGGTAGTCGCGAATTATCGCGGCACGAAAGTTCAGCCCGATAAGGTCACAGACTTATTGCATGCACACAACGCAAGTGACATTGGAGCCTCGATGTTGATCATGTATTCCGGGCGCTTTATGCATGCGCGCTGTGGACGATGCTCATTTGTTCACTCGGTTGCTCTGAGGCTGACATGCTTCGAGGGAGAATCAGGCTGCTGATTATCATCATCTATCTATTTACGTGAACAGGTGACCGTCCAAAAGGTCCATTGTTGAAGAGGGCTGCGACGCATTCCTGGGCATGCCCTGTATGGCACATCAAGGTCAGTTCTCTCGCCCTCGATAAAACCGAGAACGGACCTAGCCATCTCAATGATTTCAGAGCCGACCCTTTGATCTTGTGTCGAGTCCAGAAGGCCTCCAAGCTCGGAAAAGGGCCCTAGAGCCTACCGTTGCGCAATGTTCACCACTCTGAATGCGGGAGGAAACCACTGCTGGCGTCTTTCATTACCCGGCTTGGCGAATTCGAAAGTTCTTGGGGGTGAGATGGGTTCCGTCTCGCATTCTATCGGTCGTGCGCGGCCCATACTGGACCTAAATTCGCCATAGCCATATGCACGTGGCGATAGCAGAGGCGGAAGCTCAATTGTCGCTAAGTGAGAGTCGTCGGCTGAAGATGAGGTCAGGGAATCGAAGGCAGGGAGAGCATGCGAGTGTTGAAGATGAATGTCTCTTCGGGATGTACTGGAATAGCTATGATCCGACAAGAACTGGTGCCCCGGGCTGGTATGAGCTCTTGTGTTCCCTGCTTGACCGTTGGGCGAACGCCAGGGTCCGGCCGACCCAGCTACTTCCTCGGGCCAATCCATATGGTTGGATCTGTATGAAGTTGTATACATGATCAGTACAGAGATACAAACATTACCAGGCGCAATGGCAGCTGTTATGGTGTCCGTGATCCGGGATGCCTGGACGGGTGGGCAGTGCTCACTTACTGCTCATGGACATCGGTGCTTCGGGGTTCAGCGATTCTGTACCAGCGCTCCTTACAGCCTCTAGCCGTTCGCCCAATCTGTTCCGCGATCTGTTCCCAGGTCTTAGGATCCTTCACGAGTGCAAGGAGCCGCTCATCTTCCTCTGTGGTCCATTTTGGCGGCATTTCGTGCTTGGTTGAACTCGCTTCTCTTACTGCAATAGCCTCAGAGCTGTCAGCTTGGTCAGTCTGCGCGAGGCTGACCTCGAAGTTTGTGTGGGGCTGGATGACAGGGCGATGAGCTTGTGCTGGTGCCGTGGCAGCGCGGAGCGTTGTTTGGTGATGGGATAAGGATAATGTGGTGTCTGGGAATTCACCGCTCACATTCAGGAGTGGCGGCAGTATGGCCTTTAAGCAGTTAGCACGGCCACGTCAATCAGGCCGAGGATTCAACAGCTTGTACTCACTGTCAGCACGCGGAATGCAGAACCAACGAGCCAATACGCGGACAACACTAAATGCTACCAGGGAGGCTTGCATGGGAAACATGCGGTCAAGGATGAGCCTGATAATGGCTGCGCAAGGGTTCAAGCGCCCGGAACGACCCAAATGACCCTGGCCTGGTCTCACCATCAGCACCAGTGAATCTAGGAAGGCAAGGCTCGGCGACCAACATGCGCCACGACAGCTGGCAAAGTGTACAGAACCAACTGCGTGTTGTGAAAATGTGACATCCTTCTCATGGGCCAGGCAGTGGCACTTGCACCGCAGCGATCTCCTGGGGCCAGCTACCGGACAATGAGCTGTATATTCTGTGGTTGATTAGAAGCTTACCAGAGTAACCTCCGTGGATGTGACCTCGCCCTGCATCCGCAGACAGAGCAGATGCTTGCGATGAAATGCAGTCCTTCACTGTACCGGCTCTCACTGTCTAATTGGCGTCCTCTTCTGTCTCTGCAGGGGGGCATCATATGCAGAGAGACGCGAGTGGACGGACTGGCGACGTCGATACTTGTCCTCACGAGAGCACGCTCCGCAGCCTTGGCCGTTTGTCGTTGCACATCCCTCACTGAGACGGACAGGGTACCCCGGTATGCCGCATCCCGGCAAACACGGGAACCCTTCCCGGGTCTTGCCCATCACACACGCGCTGCCACTAGGGCGGCCCACAACCGTGCTTGCGCCCGAAGAGTGACTTCAGTGCGACATACCCACAGGCCTAGCCGCCCAGCCTCGCATGACGTCGGCAGCATCTGGACATGCCTTTTCAGCCTCGCGGCCTACAGATGGCGGCCCCGTTCCTGGCGCCGCCCCACCAAGTCACATAGGCCGGATGAGAGAATCACGTCTCCGAGGACAAGGCCCGACCCGCTACCCCATGAGCTGGCACCTCGACCAATCCAGTGGTCAAGACTCAAAGTAGCGCCGACTTGAGCTGGCTGCAGTCAATGGCTCGTCTTCAGTGACACGGGACTTTGGAGGAACTGTAGTCTCCATGCAGCCTTGAGAGCCACACCAGCTCTCTTGCCCCAGCACTGGTGGCTTAGGCATCTTGGTACAATGCAGGAACTTCCTGTAGTTCAATTGGATCGAGCCTCCGGGCCTTCCGAGCAGCGGAAAACCAGAACGAGCACAACTTGGCGCGTAGGTCCTTATCGCGCAGGCATGGACTGCTGTGCGTGTGTTGCATGCTCTAAGCCTGACAGGAAAAACTAATGGAGGCCCAGCAGGTCCGGGGCAAGCGGGTAGGGCCGTGTCTGCCGTCTTGAACCGCAATCAGCGCCCGGACCTGACGTATCAGGCAAGGGGGTGGCTTTCTCATTGATATGAACAGATCCGCGGTCAACTTTGGTGAGCTTTCCAGATCTACTGTGTATGGGCCCATACCAGCTCACCCGGACCACGAGGTCGCTGGCCACTGGGAGATATAAGGAACCCTGTGCAGCCACAAAATGACCTGGCATGCAGATACAACAGCCCCCCTACCTTGCTCGTCCTCGGTTAGTGATTGGAGTTGAGCCTCTCATTTTATGCAAGCTCACTGCCCAGCCTCATCCACGCGCGGCTCCATCATGCACCAGTACACACCCATCAGTTTGACGATAGAGATTTGGGGGGACGGGGCTGTTGGGAAAACTTGCCTAATCCAGAGATATTTGTATAACAAATATGTCGTCGAGGTAAGTCACGATTAAACCCTTGCATATGCTCTGGCTGACCTCCTCCGAGTATGACCCTACCATCGAAGACACTCACATCGTGGTCAGAGGAGGTTGCCGAATTAAGTTTGTCGACGCCTCGGGTTACAATGGACTCATTCGTGACGCCGAAGAAAGCGAGGACGAGCGTAATGCACCGCGAGTGATCATTATTGCGTTCGAGCTTACGAGTTCATCCTCTCTTGAGCACGCCAAGGTTCTGCGCGAGAAAATTCCTCGGGGGGTAGGGTTTATCCTTGCCGGTACGAAAGTGGACGTGGGCCACGGGAGGGAGGTAGCAGACAACGGAAAGGCAGCAGCACAGTCATTCAAGTGCGGGTACTTTAGAGTGTCAGCACAGAATGACGTCGGCGTCAAAGAGCTTTTCAAGGCGGCGATCAAGCTCGGCTTAGGTTCACAGGCTCCCACAGATGACCCTGCTGCTGTCGGCAGCGAGTCTCGGCCGTGATATTGTCCGCTTGGTGTTTAGCTCTCTCGTGCATCCGAAACTGCTTCTCAGGATCTGACCTCGAAACTGGTTGTTAGGACAGCAGGTCGCTTGTAATCGTTAGAGGATCATAGCATAAGTCAACCACTGAATGAGGACCAGCGCCAGTCTTTGTCATGGTACATTGTAGAGATATGTCTCAATGGCGGGGTCTGTGAGTGAGCATCCGCGAGACACCGGGCGGGATGTCTTCTGGAGCGCGAAAAAGGGTAGAGTGCTCCTGCATGAGGCAGATACATGCTCTCACCAGCTGCATGCGATCGACATGAGGGCGAGACCATATGCACTCATTCCTCCCGATAGCAAGTACCGTACAGCTCCTGTCGGTCACGGCCAGGGTCGATCCCACGCTTCAGTCTTTCCGGTCTGGCCCTAGACCACGATTGCCCTGGCATATTACAGGATCCACCCAAGTGGGATGATCAGGACGGTTCATGTGCAACAGAGTCCAAACATTTGTTCAACAGTCCGCAGCATGGGTGTGGAAAAGAACGCCCAGGTAAGATCCGCGGGAGTGCTCCGCGTTCCGTCCAGACAAGGCGGCAGGGGAGGGTCATGAGCCAAGCTCCGCTAATCGTTCGCGGCCCTTGCATGAGCCCTGCTCGGGAGCAGGCCCTGTCTTGGTGCCTCTCCACAACGCTGATCCCCGAAGACGCAGTGCCGGCTTCGTGACATGGAGGAGCCAAACCAGAGGGAGTCTTGGCTTAAGGCTTAGCGAGACACGGCAGCCGACAGGACGACTAACCTTTAGATGGCCAACCAATACCATCCAGGGTGAAGGACCCCGTCCATCCAGGTTCTCCTCATATTTGGGGAGTCTGGCCGTCACCTGCTTGCCTTCCCCATGCCAGAGCTTGATGAGCGTTGTAGGCCACTCCTCAGCCATTGATCGGCCCACCAGCTCTGGACGAGCCGAGGTATCCCCGGAGACCAGAGCCGCAGGCTGTGGGTGAGCTACTGCAAGTCTGCTCGTATCCGAGACACATGCATCTTGGGATTAGCATGAAGGCTTCCGTCCAGTCACCACACACCCTTCCGAAGCCAATCGGCTTCACCAAGCAGGCTTGGACGGCCGTGACGAGGGTCTATGCTGGGGGGCACGAGTCGCGCCTCAGTGAGCTTGGCGGCGTGCGTTCATGTGGGACATGGATAGACGGGCCATTCACAATGTCAGGTAGTCAGGCAGGCTGACTGGCTGTTGACGATGATGGGGCCAGCGTGGGCTACGGTCTTTCCTACTGCAGAAGTGGCGCAAACTCCGTAGCAGCAGCTCGACGCGCATGAGAGTTTTCTTCGTCTCAATCGGACGAGGTGTGCGTACCCAGATTCGTGGGTTGACCCGCTACATGAGGCAGCCCTGCGCACTGAGGCCCCGGCTATCAGAAAGCCATCCTCAGACACTGGCCTGCGCGGCGCTGGTGCGGTGATTGTTCCATCCTGTGCACGCGCGGGTGTTCTTCGCGGAGGGGGCTTCTCGTCGCTGCTCATGTAATCACTTCATACAGCCTATCAGTGAAGAAAAGTCGCGGATTCGTAGTAATTGACATGCGATAAAAGGCGCTGGATGTCTGCACTACTCTATGCATAAACACCAACGCACAGCCCCCAGTATGGCCTGGCATATCATGCCGCCCCAACCCATCGGCTTGAGCCTCATCGCGATATATCCTGGTGGCAGCGACATCTCATCATCCCATTCAGGTTGCATCCATCGTTTGTCGCCAGTCAGTTCGCACAATTCTTCGCGGGTCATATCATGCTCCAACAGCGCGCATTTGGAGCCGTGCTGGGTGCATTTTTCTTGAGGTTCTGGTGGTGTGTTAGTAATGGTCAAGCTTCGCCATCTGATGTTTATACGGACCTGGAATGTGAGTCGCACAAGTCGTGACACTCCGGATTGGGGCCATGTTGAGCCTTGACGTGTCGGCTTCGTCGTGGGAGGCAGTAATAACTGTAAAGGTCTGAAAAAACTTGGCGATGTTAGATGACGTGGTTGAAAGGCTGGTAGTGACGTACGTCTGTCTCAGAGGTATCCGTGCAACCTAGTGATTCAGTCTCCGTGACCTCGACGGTGACATGAATCTTTCCATTAGGCCGTGCCATGCTGATGTTGTGCCGCAGCCGTAAGGCAAGTGATGCGAGGAGCTGTTGCAGAGCCGGAAGAAGGACAAGAAGGTACATGAACATGCCACATGTTGTGACCCAATGTGACTAGACGGCGCGAACGGGGAGGCTCTTTATACCCGTCCACGGCAACAGGACATCGTGCAGCACCGTACTCACACTCGATACCAATCCACTGGTGACAATGGTACCATCACAACTCCTTTCCGATAGCCAATGATGCCGGGACTCTGGTGCAAGGAAGTAGCACGGCCGGCCGTTCGGTGGGTGGTGATCGCACGGGAGGCTTCCCCGTGCCCGGTCGCTCGCTGCTCCACCCGAGCGTTGCAGGGGCTTCGGCGCTCATGCGCCACCTATCCCCACCATAGCACATGCCAACGCAGGCTTCGTGCTTTGCCATTGGCTGCCTTGCCCCCCTGACAAGTAGTTGAGTGCTCACCTGCGAGAAAGCCATTCGAGGCGCCGTGGGGTGGTCAAAAAGCTCAGATTCGCAGCTCTGAAAGTTTGCGGCGGCCTGTCCACTGACTCCACCATGCGGATTGGGAAGGGATCCATGCCACCTTGAAATGTGTGTCACAATTGGAAAGAGGTATGTTGCATTGCAATGTGCATGTCATGATCAAGCCCAGCGGAGCCGTGCCGGTGCGAGAGAGACGTGAGAGGGCTCCATGCTTCACTCGACGTCATTCTAAGGGCTGTGTGGGCCTGGGGAACTGTACCTGAACGTGTCAGTGCACATGTCGGGCAGCCTGGCTTACGCACTGTAGGGTACTCTCAGCTGGTGCGCATGGGTGTTACTCCAATGTCGGATGCTGTACTGTAGGACAAGCCTTGGCAAGTCATCACCCAAGTTGATATCGTGTCTGATGGGTCTGGGGCGGTCCTCTTCCGCAACATCACACCCCAGTTGGCTGGACGGAACACATGCGTGCGTGCGTTGCGCCCTAACCATCCCCTTCCCAGAAGCCCCATGTTTGTGCTACACTTCTTGAAATGGCAATGGCTTCTGCACGACTCAGACCCTTGTCCTTGGGGCCTTTGTCGTCACCCGTTTGCCTTGAAGCCATTCCCAACTCGCGGCGGCCAAGCGCAGATTGCACCTTCGCCACGGACAATGCGACCGCCGTTTACCTGACCACGCCGACAGCCGAACAGCGATTCTGCGGCGCCACCTGCAACTCAGTACCTCATACAGGAACGCAATCAGTACGACAGCACTGCTCACGACCCTTGCATGAGTCCCGCTCGGGGTAAACCCTGTCTTGGTGCTGCAGCAATGCCGATCCTTGAAGACGCAGCGCCGGCTTTGAGACACGGACGAGCCAAAGCCAGTGGGTATCTTGGCGCGATGCCTGGCGAAGCACAGCAGCCAGCAGGACGACTGACCTCTCAGACGGTCAGCTGATATTATCTAGGTAGTGACGTTCTCGCCCATCCTTGTTCTCCTCGTCCCTGGGGAGTCTGGCCGGCACTTTCCAACCCCTCTCCGTGCCAGGGCTTGATGATAGCAGTAGGTCTCTCCCCAGCCAGTGATCAGCCCATCAGTCCTGGGCGAGCCGAGGTGTGCCCAGAGAGCAGGCTCTCCGGCCGTGGATGAGCTACTGCAAGTTCGTTCGCGTCCGGGACAGAAACGTGTTGGAATCAGCACAAAACATTCCCGTCCAGTCATTACACACCCGCCCGAAGCCACAGAGCATTTCCGGGCAAGTTGGGACGGGAACAGTCTGTAAGCAGAATAAATCGGACAGGTTGCTGTACAACATGGGTGTCCGTGTTTTTCTGCACCTAGCCTCGCCCACTAGCCTCTTGCCACACTCAGCCACATTGGCCAAGCTCGTGCCACCCACTGTGATTTGATCCCTTGCTTGCGTCAAAATCTCACACACCATGCGAAAGGCCACATCTCCCTCCTTCCGTTCTCCCAGATCACCATTCGGAACGTGAACAAATTTCAACAATTAGAGGCTCCCGTTTGGCGATGCTGACACTCTTGTATCATGGTTCTACGTCCAACATCTTCGAGTTTGGTGCGGAAAAAGTCCTGAAAGTACTTCGGCAGGTGCAACACGACGAGCAACTCAATGCAGAGCGACTGAAAGGCCACGAAATCGAAATTGAGGTGTATCGTATCTTGGGAGAGCACAAATACATCTTACCGTAAGCGCTTCCCGCGGACTACCACCAGAGACTCCGCTGACCTCTGAAGTCATTATGGTATTGAGACACTGGAAGGATGCCAAGGGCTAGCACTTGCTAAAGCAGATGGCTCTTTGCAAGACGTGCTAGACGGAAACCGGGGCTCTGCGTCATTGGCTTGTCGCAGGCGATGGTGTGTCCAAGCTGCGGAGGCGGTAGCGTACATACACGATCGCGGTGTCCTCCATTCCGATCTACGGCCCGACAATTTCTTGGTGCGCGGAAGCGTCCTCCAGCTTAGTGACTTCAATGGGGCCGTCTGTCGTACACACGGGCTAGATGGACAGCAATTGCCTGACGGTGGCTTCTGGAATTTAGAATGGGAGACGACTGTTCATACCGACATATTTGCCCTGGGATCCGTCGTCTATAGCATATTGACCGAACACTGGCCCTTTTGCGAGCCTGGTCAGCTAGTCCGGACCAGTGCGGCATATGAGGATGAAGTCAACGACCGGTTCAGCCGCGCTGTCTATCCAGAGGTCGCCGGTTTAGAGGCTGGCGATGTCATTTTACGTTGTTGGAAGGGCCAGTATGACAGTGCTCGAGATATTGCAAAGGCACTCAAGATAGCATTCAAGAACTCGACTGGATAGTCTATATTCATAAATAGCGTAATATAGTAAATGAGTGTGCGAAGAAGATTGCAGGGCATAAGAGTTGCACTACTGCGCGAAGCTGTTCAAGAACGTGGTCGAAAGGAAGGAAACGGCCAAATTTCAAGGTCCACCAACAGTTCCTAATATTCCCCCAAAGAGCTCCTTGTAAGGACCGTACTGGAGCGCATCTGAATTAGCACAGCTTATCCAAGCGAGAATGATCCGCTTAGTAACGAGCGTTTACCTGTAAAATCAGGGGTTACTGCAGTTAAACCTCCCACACTTAGTCCTCTTCCTGCTGGAGCCGAGGTGCTTAGTAGTTACGCTGTGTCCAGCTGCGGAAGTATTGTCGCATGAGTCGAAGGAGACATCTTCTTCGAACCTATCACCGCAGGTATAGATTGTCACGGAAACGGTCTTGGTGCACATCTTGATTCGTGGTATGATCTGATGGCTGAAAATGGGGTATTGTTTGGATCACGGAAATGGAAATCTCCCTTGGGGTGCAAGACCTTGCCCTTTATAGACGCTAGAAAGTCCAAAGCCCGAACGCTGGCATATCCTGGCATATCCTGGAATACTTCGCACAGAAGCAGGGTGACGCTGTCCTTGAGCAAGTGCGAGGACACGCATGCACATACGGAGCAACGTGGCCGCGTGCGCATATGCACGGGCATACACTTGCGGAAAAAGACTCCTGCAGTCCTTGGAGCCACATGCTCGACCAAGAACAAGGCTTTGTCTCACAAACTACTTGTTCGCCCTGCTTGTTCATCTGACTGCATATCGATGTTGCAGGGGGGCGACAGTGGGCGACAGTGACCATGAATGGTGTTGCCATCAACTGCATGAAATCGCGGATCCACATAATGGCTCTGGCAGGCTTGCTCGTCTAGACCGGTGACAGGCGGTCTGCTCGTCTCTACTTGCCTTCCTCAAGGTACGCAAGAGTGGGGATGATGCCCCATTGTCAGGCCACACATCTGAACGCGGCAGATATCAGGGCATGGCGAACATGGATCTCAGTTGATATGTGCCGATTTGATCGCCACCGAGGAACTACGTGCCCAAAAGTTGGCTCATGCGGCATACGCGTCCTCAGACACCACTAAGCCTTGACCCTAGTTCCCTTGTTGTTGAGCCAACAGGACCAGGTGTACCAACCCTCTACAATTCATGCACATGCATCAGTCCTGCCGTTTGGGGCCACAGGGATGTAGTAACTGGGTCTTCGAACCTCGCTTCCCCGTGTGTGAAGAGCAAGGATGATGGAAGTCCCGCTTCTGAACACCGCCAGGCTATCATACGTCCTTGTGCAAGGGTCATGTTCCAGGTCTCTCTATGTGACATTCTCGCAGCTGCAGGACAACGCGTCTGATTTGCAAGGATCCTGCCGTCGAGTCTCTGCAACTCCGCATTCTGAAGTCTGGGAATATGTCCTTCCAGCTGCAGGTTGGCTTGGTTCCTCTGTTCAGGTGTGGGTGGTATGCAAGAGGCAGCAAATCGTTCAAGAACACATCTGCAGCTGCCTGGCCAGATTGTTGTCTAAGGTCGTCGGAACCACATTATGGCGCGCTCCCACACGCGTTGCACCTGGTACCGTGCATGTTGCTCGAGCCTGCTTCACGGCCCTCTCGACCAATTTTTAGCCAACCTTGGCAATGATCGTTCGTCACGCTCATTTTGATAGTCCCGTGTCGAATGCTTGCAGGCCAGAGCAGGTTGCCGGTAGAAAAGGCGTGCGCGGTGTCGCATCCGTTGCCTTGACCACACCTTCGTGCTTTGTCGGCTGTCCTCAGCTCATGCTGGGCTGTGGAAATGTGAGAGCTAGCAATTGGCTATCGGTCTGCCGCCCCTGCCCGAGCTTGGCAAGTTCCGCATTGGGAGACCTACTGGGATGATTTTGCTGAATCACAGACTGGACCAATGGAAAAGAGGGATCGGCTCCCGGCGTTCCGGGCTCCTATGAGCCAATCAATCAATGCGCCCATGCAGCCCTCCACCCTTGTAACCAAGAAAAGCGGGCTGGACCATGCCACGGTGAAATGTGGCACACTTTGGCCCTTGCGCGCCACACTTCCTCTTTTCGAGTCCAACCCTCACTTGAGTGCCGTTCACAGCACAGCCATGTGGCTGACGATTCAGTACTTCCAGGCCAATCCAATGCTTGGATGTGGCGCACAGCATCCCTCTATCCACGGAGGAGTTGCAACTGAGCAAGGGAAGATGGATTGGGACACGGCTTCGGCTTAGGCTTCATCATCTTCCACGCGCTCGATAGATGCTAACATTGTCGCATTTGGAGGCATGGAGTCTTTTAGGGCATCACAAGACTCTCAAGAATGTTTGGCGCTCACGTCCTCGTGGCCACATCTTCGTGCAATGTCAGGTTTCTGCTGCTCGCGCTGTGGAAGGTTGAGTGCGTCGCTTCTACTGCTTCTGCACACTAGACTTGATCATCGTCGCTGGCGGCCGCAAGCCCAGTTCTGAGGCTTGCACTAATTAGAAGACGCAATCAGGAAGGCTGCAAGGCTGCAGTGCGCCTTGCAATGCGATCGAGCCTGGACACGGAATTACACTTGGCTGGTTTTGTCCGAACCCCACCATCAACTGCCAAGCCGCTGTGTAGTTGCGCGAGCAGGGAGGAACCCACCCTCATATCGCAATGAACATGTGGGTGCACCTGGCGCCCTCTGTGCCCAGGCGGCCGTTCTCGGGTTTCCCATAATCGGCATCGGGTCTTTCCAGCACCTCCATCTGTAGACTTCAAGGCTTGGAAAGTGACGGGCTAGCTCACAAGCGAAGACTGGATACGGCTCGGTGCGGGAGTGGCATGAGGGCGCATCAAACACAAGGACAGGCGGATCCTGCTCTTGGTGACGAGCAATCAATGCATGACTCTCGGTTCATGCAGGCCTTCGGACGGCTCGGGGCAGGGACAGTTGCCGGGTCAGAATGATGAGCCTCTACCCCGCTTGATTGGCCAGTGCAGATCAACAACCACCTTCATTGGCAAGCCTGAACAAAACCACGCTAGTTGAAGGTGGGGCAGCATTTCCATCCAACGAAGGTGGGGCGCGGCCCTGACATTCTCATCTTATCTGCATGGTGAGCTGCTGGCGTGATCCATAAAGCTCCTCTCGTGGCAGTGCGCAAGTGAGCGAAGCTCGGCGGCCTACCCCGCACGAAGTCCAATTCATAATCCCGACGTGGAATTCATGCATCAGGAGGCTATGGCAGATACCTGCCAACCCCCCGGGTTTCCCATCCTCAATGATGTCCGAGACTGTTCGCGCACTCCAAGAATCGCTACGCAAGCAGCTCACGTCCGACCCATTACGTGCTCAAGCACCCCCCAACTTTGATCGGAATCTGCAGGATCTCGATCCCACAGACAACATAATTCTGCAAGCTGGAGCGGACCTGTCAACCTGGTTCGCCATCTTCACTATTCGTTCCGAAGACCGTGACCAGGAGTTCCCCGACAGATTCGGCTCGCTCAGCACAGAGGAGCTCCATTTGTTGGTTCAGAGTACTAAGAAGATCACACCCTGTGAAAATTACCAGCAGCGGATAAAAGCGATCTTCTTCGACAACAAGAACAAGAGCAAGGACCGCCGAAGTACATGACCCAACTCCACGCAAGTTGTCACCCCTACTGACAAGTGTTCAGCCCAGATGACCCGCGGCGGCTGGACAGGTGAAGCAGCGCCAGACGGCCTCAGCCTCCCGAACGGACCTTGGGAGAGAGCGGCGGTTGTCACCCCTCTACCGAACAATCCGGATTCCCCTCCCACCGATCGTCGCTCGACTACTGCTGATTCGTCCATGCCTGCCTCAACACGGCCGCAATGCGATCTCAACCCTTCCGGGCCGGCTCCGAAGCGGCAACGAGTGGACTCGAACAGAGTGACTGATCCATCCGGCACGTCAAGTGTCGACTGCAATCAAGAACAAGCACAATACGGCTGGTCGCTTCAGAGCAACAATAAGCCTGTCTACCGTGAAAATCTGGTGTCTGTTTTCCCGGAATTCACGGTAGAAAGCATTGTTTCTGATGGTGCCCACGCCTCAGTTCGCTTCGATTTCCCCGTTGACCCGAACTCTCGACCCAGTTTCATGCTCATCGACATCAAGTATGATCGGGTGCATATCTTTGCAGAAAAGCTTTGCGGAACAACAATAATAGAGAAAGAAGACAGAAGAGGAGTAAAGAAAAGATATACAGTAGACATTAGGAGAAGTACATGGACGCGTATCGACGGGACGGTGACCTTGGGGCCTGCCAGGCAGAGGTGTGTAGAGGAATTGCTGGGCTCAATTTCATTCCTAGCGTTTCGTCACAGCCCCGTCTCTCAGAGGGAGGACAGAGGCAAGGAGACCACGGGTTGTGTAGAGCTGATTATCCCCGGTGATCCCAAAGCCCCAGGTACCGTGCAGCTGCTCGGAGCCGATACAAACCTGTCGGAGATGGCAAACAGTCTCACGACAGTACCCTAAAAGGTTCAGTTAAACAATACAGCCAGAACCCCTTTCTCAGTGTGACTTTTGCAGTTCTGTGTTCCTCTGGTACCGCTGTCCATTCTTTGTCTCCCTTCTTTTTCCAGAAAACCTCAGCCTCAACCCATATAACTTCCTGTCCGTCACCTTCGACTACTATGCCTCGTGTAGGTAAAGAGTCATTGATTTCGTCGCTTGTGGGTTGCTTACCCTTTGGTTAGCAACCAAAAGATGTGAAGAGTCCCGCGAGCACATACCAAAAATTTGAGGGACATCTTTCCTGGAATGAGCGTGGAAGTGCGTTGCCGGACGTTTTAGTAGCAGTCTTTTCCGGGTAGCAGTCATGCTCGAGCGTAGATGCTTCATACATTAAAACGTGACGTCTCGGCCTTGGTCGGGTAGAACGCGCACAAACAAGAAGCTGCCTAACATGCATGCCCAAAGAGGGGTTGTTCTGGTGTGCACCAGCATTACCGAAAGAAAAACATCAGATGCTGATACCCCGCAGCATGACGCTAGTCTCCCTTCGCTCCCCTGTCTCCCGAGTACGTACTGCGGACTCGCACGAGCCCCTGTCTCCCGAGTACGTACCCCTGTCTCCTGAGTACGTACTGCGGACTATCACGAGCCCTGTCTCCTGAGTACGTACTGCGGACTCGCACGAGCCCCTGTCTCCCGAGTACGTACTGCGGACTCGCGCGAGCCCCTGTCTCCCGAGTACGTACTGCGGACTCGCACGAGCCCCTGTCTCCCGAGTACGTACTGCGGACTTGCAGGAGCCCCTGTCTCCCGAGTACGTACTGCGGACTTGCAGAGCCCCTGTCTCCCGAGTACGTACTGAGGACTCGCACGAGCCCCTGTCTCCCGAGTACTGTAAGGCACGCATTCTCGCGTTCCACAACTTGACTCTCCGAAGCGATCGTCCAGGGTCGAACGCCCCTGTCTGTCAAGCCACTGCACATACTTGCTGGTCAGCAGCGAAGCTGTCTCTAGGGTGTTATTGACGTTTGATGATATTGATTCTACTGTTTCATGGTGAAATCCGATCGGTAAAGTTGAGTACTTGTGCGTAGTGGTGAACAGCCAGCGAGCGCACCTGGATTAACTGGCGGATAACTTGAAGGAGCCCGGCGATGAGAGAAGTGATTGAGCTGGAATTGCCAGTGTCGTAGCCTGCAGATCCGGGTTCGCAGGGGTGAACAGCCTCAACGCCAGAATGGTATATGGCGGGCGAGTCCAGCATTGAAGTCGATCCGATGCAGGCCATCTAGTTGGCCGCGTATCCCGGAGGCATCCTTGACACCCTGTGAACTACCTGCATATGCTGGCATGCGTCGAGCTGTTCGAAGTCCTGAGCGACCTCGAGCATGGTGACCGGCCTGTCAATGTCCCAGAGTCGCTGCTCAGCTACAGGCATGGCTGAAAGAGCTGTTGGCCGTTTTGTCGGCTGCTTCGTGTACAGAGCCTTTTGTGTAGATATAAGAACCATAGGAAACACGACAATGGCTGGATTGATGAATGCGCCAGACACTAACATCCCGACGGCCACTCGAAACAACGCCCTTCTTCACAACGTTTTGATAGAACCACCTTCGTTCGTCCCGCTGTGGTAAGAAATGTCCTTCCCTATGTCCTATTACCGATGCATGCCAACCTCCTGATCGCTGCCGCGTCGACTGGCCGATCTGAGCAATGTATGAGGCACATGTGGGAGCAGACAGAGGCACGCAGGACCGGCAGGGACTGCATCGTTGACAGAATATTGGGACAGGCACGGCAATCTCGAGAACACATGCCAAGCAATCAAATCCTCTTGCCATGATGCCTGACAAGGATCCCGGATCACAATCTGCCACAACAGGAGAAGAGCCTGGCCCTGTATCGTGTGGCCCGCAACTGGGAATATGAGAAGGAATATGATGGAGAACCCAGGCCACAGCTGGGCGTGCCTCGAACTAGGATTTATACGATGTGGATATCTCAACGGAGAGGGAGGAAGCAGGGCATAGATCAATTGCAATTATTGTATGGTATACACTTACTGGACAGCTACGACCGAAACCTATGACGAGTTCCTGAAATCGACTCAAGGTCGACATGTGCTATTTTTGAGATGCCTCTCCAAGCAACCCTCCAGATGATGCAGCGGGTAGCACTCACGTACAAGCCTTGTGAATAGGCGCGAGGAGGAGGAGGACCGGGCCGCCGAGAGAGTGCACGGCAACGTCCTGGTCCATAATCATAGCTATTGGCCATTTGAGACATGCGACTGTCTCTGACTTCCTGTCCCCAGGTTTCCGGCGGAAAAACCGCACTGACGTGTCTCGGGGGCTCCTGCTATCAGTCTCATGGTCTTTGTACTGGGCAATCACAGCAACAACCACGCCCACAGCATCATCTGGGCATCTGTATGCCGTGCCCCTGAGATATAACAAGTGTGGCCTCAACTGGTATCCGGTTCCCAAGAGCTCTTTGGCCTGCGGCAGCATTGCAGCGTGGAACTTGAACCATCCATCGTTGAGAGCGGGCTGCCAATGGACGTGTGTGAGCTCCATATTCCGCGATTGTACCTCCACCCTACTCCCTGTCCCATATCTATGACGTGTAACCTTAAGGGGGGAGCAGGGCTTCCCAATCAGGTTTCTAGACTGTTGCTCCAAGATCTCCACTGCGGGCGATGTTGACTTGTCGATCAGATATTTACGGTGCGAATCGATGGTCTTTAGCTGTGTCTCGGATGTTCCGTCCGTGTCGTCTTCGGGCTCCCAATTGCCATCGATCTCTTCCTTTAGCTCAGCGATCTCATACTGCGGAGGCGGCCGGAAGACATATTCTTGTTCTGCCGCATTTGGACATCCGGCTCCGGACGCCGCACTGGGGGCGTTGAACATCCTCAAGGTTGTCTGGAATGCGTCGAGCCCAGTATGGCTAGGTGATAGAGTGGCCTTTCTGACTCTGGCGAGCTTGAAGGCGGTGGTATCGCTCACTGGATGGCCCTGAGGATTGATGGGGGTGCCAGCGCCTGGCAGTCTGCCAACTGCGGTCTCCCGCATCGGTGATTGATCGTCAAAGACAATCATGTCTTCAAGGTCTGTCGGCTCCACTGCGACCTCGTTGGTTCCAGGGATGCGCGTACGGTTGCCTTCAGAAGACGCCACAATGTTGGAGATGGACATTACTGACTGATTTGGGCGGTCCATTTCACTGCATTCGTCATTGGCCATAGAAGAGGGTTCCTGGATTTTGGCAGGAGGAGACGGGGGGCCGACAGTGGTAATCGGAGTGAGAGCAGGCGTGTCAAGCCCCGTGTTGGTTCTTGATGGCGCTCCGAGTCCGGGTGCCATGTTCGGCGTCCTTCCGACACCGTCGGGCGGGGTGCATGTTTGGGACCCGAGGGCCATGCTCCGTGCTTCACCATCGGTTTGACAGCTCGAAGGAGTATTAGTGTCCTCAGCAGATGTCACAGAGGAGGAATCCATTGGGGTGGGGATGGACGATGTTTTGCTGTGCAGCTGTGTGTCTACTTGTGCCGAGTGATCGATGTGGCCTGCTCCCCGTCGTGGCGCCACTGCACCGTTCATGTCCGCGACATGATCCGTGATCGCTGAACTACTTGCCGGGGCTTCATTGGCTGCTTCGGAAGTGTCGAGTACGTCTCCACCCATCGGTGAAGGTGTGGCACCTGTGAAAGGAGGCTCTATGCGTGCCCGCTTGTAGGATTGTCCGGTAGGGTGTCCAATGACACTAACAGCAGACGATGCCGCCATGATGTCATGGTCCATCGCGCTCGATCCGCTATCGGCGACAGAAGACGAAAGCAGCCGAGTCCGCTTGCGATGTTTCTCTCTAGAATCGGCTGGAGTACTCTCGGCCATGCACATACCTATCTGTAACCCGAGATCCACATTCTGGTTCACGAGTAGGGATAAACCATGATTCACGATCTTCTCCATCGTCTTCTTATGCCGGCCGACCTCAGACTCTATTCCGCTTGATTTCATATCCTGAACGAGACGTTCTAGAGCCGTCGGGTTCTTGGCCCTCAGATTCTTGTAACTAGTTACGCGCGAGTTAGGCGTGAGCTAAACCTGGACTGGGATGTTGAGTGGCTTACAAGTCTGGGGAATTTTTTTCCGGCAAGCAGAGAAGCACTGCGTAATTGGTGTCCAGGTTTTCCACTATCCCAAGAAAACTTTCGCCCTCTCCCCATAGAGACGCGCACTGCTTCTTGACGTCTTCTGGCCGGAAATGAAGTGCCTTGGCAAGAAGCTGCTCTTGAATTTTGCGTCCATCGCGCTTTAACGCTATTCGATGAAGGTGCCAGATAAGCTTGGCGACGTTCCTGAGTCGACTATTGAGCTTGTCTGTTATGAAAAGATATGTTGAGGAGGCACTCTCGTTCTCGTCGGTTTCGTTCTCGCTGGCTTCATTCCCATCGGTGTCATTCTCATCGGTGTCATTCTCATCAGGGATTATTCCCAACTTGAAGAATTTCTCAGGCTTCTCGCTCCAAACCCTGAGTAACTTCTCGAGTCGTTCTCCCAGTTTGATGTGAGCGTTCCCGCTGGGCTTCCTGGCTGGAGGTGCTCCTCCGTCATTGCCTTGTCGGGAGGCTCCAGCCCCGCAGGTTGCAGATTCTGCCGAGGTCATGGCAATCTCTCCCTGTCGAGACGAGCGCGCCCTCGTTTGTTGGTCAGTATCCATTGTTTGGACTTCCGAAGGTGGTATTGGCTGTCCGGAAGACGTCACTCGGGACCGCCGTGTCACAGGTGACACCAGACCTGATGCTGCAATCTGGTCGGCTCCCAGGCCCTGATGCCTGGGCTGTCCAGTAGGTTTCGGCAACCGGCACCTCTGCACAGGTCTTCGTGCTACAGGTGGCTGGTCGATATTATGGGACGTGGGCTGGGGCAGCCGAGCCGGAGGCGATGCTGCGGCCTGTCCAGGCCCGATGCCCGCATGACTGGGCTGTTCTGAGCGGTTTGGAGGCTCGCACCTCTGCATAGGTTCTTGCACTCTGTGGGGCAAGCTTCCGTCAGGGTGGAAAGGTGCTCGCGATGACTGCGGTAAAAGTCGGGCAATGGCTGCACCTAGTCCTGGATCCTGACGCACTCGAGCTTCGAAACATTGGACCTGTACGCGATGAGTATCCCTGAGCGCGTTATTGTGAGAAGTGATCACTAACCTTCACGAGAATACTCATCCAATCCCCATCTCCAAGGAGTGCCGCAACGACATGCCACCGACAGTCCTCGGACGAACCACACGTGTGAGTGGTGTCTGCATCCATATCTAGAACTGCCTCTGAATCTGCGTTGAGGGTGCTCTTGCGTTGTCGGTGCAGAGACTGGCCCAGCCTGTTGGTGGAAACGACGAGCAAGGAGACGGGGCGAGAGAGTGGGCTGCTCTAGCCACCGCGACCCGCGGGCCCCTGCTGGATCCAGCCCATGCAGGTGTGGTGAGACATCGCTCCACTTACGCCAGACTGCGCTTTCCTCTTTCTGGACGTCAACCACCATGGCCAAGGTGGTTGACGTCCAGAAAGGGGAAAGCGCAGTCTGGTCAGGCAGTTGGCTTCAACAACGTATTGTCAGTGCCCCAAGTACAATTTCAATGGCTTCCACATGCGCGTGGCGTGCTCGCTCACCAAAGCAGGCCACAGCTATACCGACCTTTGACCATGTCTATCGCGACAGGTTCGCATGGAGCGCTAGGATTTTGGGATGTATCGCATCTAATACTTGAACTATGTAGTCCTGCCCATTGCTCGTCACATGCTGGGAAAGAGGAACATGTCGCTCGCTGAGAGTCACATTGAGACTACCTCCACTACCTGGCGCGCCGTCATACCCCTTTGTCCCTCTCCCCAATATCCAGCTTTACACATATGGGCTTTGGTGCGACCTGTTGATCATCGACTCCCAAGCTGTTTTCGGGACCGGCCGACAATCGGCTGTTTTTGTTAGTCGAGTCTGCTCCAGTGTTATGGAGGCTGATGCAACTTACGACAGACCTCGTCGTCCCTACGAGACAGTTAGTGACAGGGAAGCTGGTTTGAGATGAATGTACCGACCTCCACTCCGCACAAGTGACGTTAGGCGGGCACCTCTTATGCGTGCGTTCGTAGACGTGGCACCATTTCAGCACGGGAAACCGGAAGTGGCCGCAATGATATTGGATCTGTTATCAGTCAGCTTCTGATAATCTTGGTGACACCGGGACAGGTATAGGCACCTGGATATAATTGCACATGTTGACTGGGATGAGAACACTGTCGCAAGAGTTGTTGTGGGTTGTTGTGAGATGCGGCGAGATGCTGCGAGATGCTGCGAGATGAGATTCCAGAGGGACGCCCGGACGCGCACCCTGGTATCTTGTACCGCCATGGGGCGGGAGACAACGGAGCGGGTTCATGCACACCCAGCTGAACCTGCGGTCCTCTCGGGGCGAGACAGCTTCCGGATACACGCTGTCCAGGAGATGTCGGAGGTCGATAGCTAATTTGGAGCGAGCTGGGTCAATGCTTGTGTCAACGCTGATGCTGGGGAACATCCTACGTCCGATGCGGGTCAGACCTGCACCCCTCTTTTCCCGCAGGGGTCGTGGAGTGGAGTGGAGTACCAGCCTTCACTGCTTCTTCGAGCCGAGGAGGGCAAGGGGCACATTGGATGGAGCACGGCACCATCATCACGGGCATGAGATGAGTGAGCGCAAATGACGCGATTCCAGAGGGGCTTTTGTAGAGGCTTCCATTAGGCGAATGATGTGCGGTCCTCAGAGAATTCTCGTGCGATATGTCTCAGCCCCTTCGCCAGTCACATATGCGATATCGACTAAGACGAACAGACATGCCCGATGGACAGGACGGCATCCTGCAAGCGTGGCGAGAGACTGACGTGAGCTTCTCTTGAGGCATCCAGGGGTGCTCACTCGCGATTAGCCAGCGAAGTGTTCAGCCAAACGCGGCGACTGTGGATATCGTTATCGGGATAAGGACATTCTCATGGCATGGTCCACTGCAGGCTTCACACCAAGGGACCTCCACAGCCTCTCCTGCCTCCATGAGCTCGAGTCGGGAGTAGGAGCACGCGTCTCGTCTTTGCGTCTTGTTGGCTGGCGCACAAGTCCACTACGGCTACTCAGCGGCTGGCTGCTCCAGTCATCCCGGCGTGCAGTGGATCCGGTGCAAGAGTCATTTCCTGCTTGTTCCGGGATCTGCTGCGGTGTTGGAAGGTACGCTCATGTGCCAGTTCGGCATGTGGATGGGCAACTGTGCGCTGCGTGCTGTGTCATGGCGTGGGTCGTGCAAGCCACCCAGATAGCGGCCTGGCTCCCTGCACGCGAAGGTTCGGTGCTCGCCGGCAGCGCGGCCCCTGGTGTTCCGTGGTGCCACCCCCAACACCAAGCTGGCCTCCGCGGCCTGCCAAAAGCCAAGACCGCGCGTCGTGGGTCCTTTCAATGAGACATGGCTATGCTCAGTCTGATAGAGGCTGGCCCGTCCCGTTGCGGGACCACTAACAGGACGGGGGACTTCAGCAGTAAGCCCCGGGACATGAGTGCACCAGCTGTGGAAGTCGAGAGCACGGCTCGTGTCAATCCTGACTGCCGTGGTCGATCGCTGATGACCAGGGTCTAATGCCAGCTGCGTCTGCAGGCACTTAAATGGCCTTGTCCTGCGCGTGTAAGCACCTCGGCATGCAGCGATCATCTGGCAGCCACTCCCAACGTCTGAGCAGGTTCCTTCACTCAGCTACCAGCATGGCGCAAAGAGAACCAAAGCGTCCTGACGAGCGAATCGTCATCATTGGCGCGCGTAAGGTCGGCAAGACTCATCTCCTGTTGTGGTTCCAGCGCGCATTTTCAAAGCCAAACTTGAACACCGATGAGGTACGTCGCTACCAGAAAGCCATGTTGCGGTCACTAACGTTGTTCTAGCACACATGGATCGAGAGGCAGATAGCGAAGTGCCTCGAGCACAACAGCACTATTCATCGGGTACGTCGCTCCCAGAGAGCCATATCGCAGCAACTAACGTTTGTTATAGAACATGCAGACACATGCGGAAGTTTGGGCTGATGTACCGCATAACATCGAGATTTTTGAGGTCCCCAATCTGACTTCGGATATCAGCAAAGATCTAGCAAGACAGTGTACTCCCAGAACAGTGGTCTTGCTGTTATACGATCCTAGGCAGCCATCCACGCTCACTCAAGTTTTGAACGGGTGGGATGAACTCAAGAAGGCCTTGCCTGATGAGGCCTCGTTCACGGAGCCCATTCTTGTTGCTACCCACTCTGACCAGCAGGATCAGTGGAGCGATGAACACAAGGACCAGCTAGCCAAGTACCCGGCTATCACCTACTTCAAGGTTTCTTTCAACACCGGCGAAGGTGTTCGAGAGCTTATCGATGAGGCATTGCTGGCAATAGCATGGCCAGACATTGCGATGCAGCTCGACAATGACACACACAACGGGAACGAGAGCCCGAATACCACGACCGATGAGAGACCGGATACGCAGACGTCACATGCTGAGCACGATATGGAGCCGCAGGCAGAGACGGCACCTGCTGACCACGACGAGGATGCGCAGACGGAGGATGAGATGTTCGAGGATCCGTGCAGCGAGAAGGTCAGGTACGAGCAGCCGCCCACGGCTTGGGCAGTGCTGGACTGTTGTGGTTGTCTATCGATCGTCTCCGGGAACTTGGTAGGCAGGTGGAAAGGGTGGAAGCGGCGGACCAAGACTTGGCGAGCTCGGCTGGCAAGTCCTTCTAGGCGTTGCCGTCTGTGGGCGCACAGAGACGACCCTGAGGAGCGCAGGCTTCTCGAGAAGGGACCTGATGTAGACTACGCGAGCGCGGCATCTGGCCAAGTCGCTACGTCATAGAGACTTCTGCGGGCAGAACACCACAACGACACAATCAATGCTGCATTACCTACAATCGTGCTCCCTGGTGCTGTCTGTGCGGCTGGCAAGCAACACCCTGCCTGCCGGAAGGGGTGCCATTCCTCGGCTCCATTGTGTGTGCTTGTGGCTTATGCGGGTCTACCCACCCCAGTGGATGGCCCTCTGTTTCTGGCGCATCCTCCAAGCGTGACTCTGCCCGTTCTGCACGGCCCGACGTGAGGTGAGACGTCACTTGCCGGCCATGCAGCAAAGTCAACACGTTGTGGGTCCGATCCAACCAGGGCGGAGCTGGGGTAGCCTGCTTGCTGCCTGCATGGCTAGCCAGGGGCAACCATGTCCGCCGGCGTGGGTGATGGTGTGCAGGGCTGCAGGTTGAGCCAAGAGGGCCAATCGGATGGCTGGACTCGTCGTGCTAGGGGCTGGCGCCGAGTCCAACCATTGGTGACCAACATTGACGGGGAGGGCTGAACAGCGCATGTCTCGATGTTCGCACAGCGCTCCGTCTTTGTCCATCAGCGGCCCCGTGGTCGTCATGCTTCCTCATGCTGGACCTGGGGACTTGGCTGTTGGCCCAGCTGCACTTGCTGTTTAGAGAAATGAGACATTTGATTATTGCACTCATGCAACACGCACGGATGAGCCCCCCTGGCGGCGGCCGCCCAAGACAGAAGGCGCCAGCGACGAGGGCGGAGGTCACTCGAGCATGCCCTCATACACTCAGAAGGTCTATTGCTTTCAACTGCTAGTGCAGATCTCTATGACCCTTGCGCCTCGGCGTCGGAGAATGCCCAGTTTACTGGCCGCTTCTTCGCGCATCCAGCTGACACCACTCATCAGACTGGGCCCGGGACGTATCATGGCACAGACACAATGATAATCCAGCGCGCTGGAGGACCCTCGTATCTCGCCGGGAAATTGTGACCTCCAATGCGAGAACCCTGCCTACTAGACATGCTTCGCGTCGACTCCACGTGCGTGTTATGCCGAATGTCATGATGCCTGGTGCTCGAGGGGCTCGACGACACGGGGGCTTCTACCACACTGCCCTGCTGCACCGGACAAGCCGCCTTGGCTGCAATGGGCAATGACTGCATGTCGCTGATCCCCCGGCCCAGACCCTAGACCAGACGAGGTGCTTGCGCCCACACATCGGCACACGGACAGGACTGTCTGCAGTGTTGCGCGCAACGACGTCCGCTCTTTCCGCAATGCAGCTGCAGCTCTCCACTGACCTCCAACATTTTCCGGGTAAGCAGAAACGGGTCGCCACATCTCTCGAGTGACCCGCATACCGGGCCCGATCTCGTGTCGCTCATGGTGGACTGGACAGCTGTGCGGCAGGGGACCCCGTTTGAAGGCCCAGCTTGCTAGACTTCCATGACTGCATCATCCTGATATCACGCAAACCCTCTTCGATGAGACGGGACCGGCGCAATTAGAAGCTGAAGATAGTATTTGTGGTGCTTGATATTAAACCTGCTATGGAAAGAACTTGCGAGAAAAGAAAACTACTGATTGTATAGAGTAGAGGTGTTGTAGTTGATGCTTCCAAGGAGCCTTCCAGGGCATTACCAGCCTTGAGCGTAGTAGCCGCCCTGATTGTTGAGTTTGAAATACCGGTTCCAGTCCATCGAGGGCTCAGCAGCCGCCTTGTTCATGTGTACCTTTTCAGGGTACTGCTTCAGGTTAGCAACATCGTGCGAAGTGTGTCGCCTCTTGAGCACGGCATTTGCCGTCGAGGTCTTCTGCTGCCTCTCCCAGAGGAGCTGGCGGCGAAGGGACACGGTGAGCTCGGCCCCCAGCATGTTGCGGCGTGTGGCGCGACGGGAGATGGGCTGTGCACAGGCGGGGATGGAAACTGCGGTGGAAGGATGAATCTTGTTGATGATCGTGATCCGAATAGGCTCGCGCTTGACCTTCTTCATCTGGATGCCCTCGTCGAAGTCGTCCGGCGAGTTGCTAATGGTCGACGGGTTTTGCACCGTTTGGGAGTGCTGAGGCGAAGCAAGCATCCGCCTTAACGGGCGGCTGCTGTGAGCCTTCATGTGCTGGCCTTCATCCGCGAACATGAGGCTGAGAAGAGATGGACGAGATGGCTGTAAGGTGACGTTCGGCGTTGGGCCAACACGATTGAAGACCAGTTGATTATCCGCACTCGGATTGGGACCAGAAGGTTCGTCCTCCCAGTCCGAACTGTTATCACTATCATCGATGGCAGACTCGTCGATATAAGAATCGACGATGCCAAGCTGAGCGCGAGCAGCCCTGTCGCTATCATGCTTGCGGATGATAGACTTGAAGTTGGCAGACTCGTCGCTGCCGTCAGACTGGTAGCCGTCATCAGATCGGTCGCTAACAAGAGACGGAGGGTCATCGGGCATAGCTTTCGTCGGAGGGTTGGCGTGACCAGCGAGTGTCGCCGATGAGACGCCACGAGCTTGTTGTCGTGCAGGTAGTACCCGATCCTGGTGGTGAGCTGCGAGCATGGCGTCCGCAGCGATGTCTTGCAAGTCCGGGCCCAGGGGCTATTGCTGCTCTTGGGTTGGGATCGCGGCGTGGGCATCCGGGAGCCTGTAAGGGACCTTGTTGTTAATAAAGCAGAGGAATCATTCGCCACACATGGTTAGGGTAATGTACCATCTAACATCACTGGACGTCCCGCGTATCCAGGCCGTTACTCTTTGTCGGCGTCTCGATCTGCAAAGCCGCAGAATACAGACGCGAGTTGTTGGAGCGCTCGAGATGACGTTGATTGTGATGGGTACGAGGGCGAAGACGAGCTTCAACGACAGGACAGAGGGGAGAGTGGCAGCTCCAGCCCGTCAGAACCCCGACCTTGAAAGCCATGTCATGCAGACGGGGGACCTCTGCCGCCCGATCTCCAATCCCCCCTGCGTCCCAATCAGTCTCAGCCCTCTTTCGCGACGTGCGTCTCGCCCGTCCTGTGTCTCGCGAGACTCGTCCGCTCGTCAGCCCCCACCCCAGCATCCATCCCGGCTTGTCCCTTCGCTTCCCCATGTCGGCTGCATGATTGCACACTACATGGGAAAAGCAAGGGAGTGAGCCAACGCGCCAGGGCTGCTCCGTTATCATAGTCTCATTGTGGTGTGTTAGCGCCGCGGGCCGGATGCCGAGCCATGGTGCTGTTGTAGATTATGGGCATGTCCTCGTACCCACCCAGGGTGAGCAGGTCGAGGCGTGACAGCGACCAGGACGTGTGATCTCCTCACCCTGGGTGATCAGGCCCGTGATAGTGAGCTGCAGGCATGCGTTGTCATGATGGAATGCTGTGTCGCGCCCAGACTCTCCTCCGCTGAGTTCGCATGGGCTGTGAATAGATCCCCGCGAGCCTTTGGCTGGACCTGCATTGACACATGCTCCGCTCATCCCAAGCCTACACGCTTCCGCTTGAGAGCAGCGTCGCTGAGCAGTTGTCTCCACTCGCGACCAGAAGGGACGTAGCCGCTCATTGGTGTCGAAAGGCCCCCTGAGAAGCTTGCATCTGTCGTCTACCGTCGTGCCTCCTCCTCGTGACCGGCCTCCTCTCCGTCTCCAGCCAGACGGGCCGGCCCAAACGATGCCCGCAAGCCTGCTTTCTGTCCAGTATCACCTCTCGTGCTGCCGTGGGTGTGAACGCCAGGTGCTCGACAGGGCTACCTGACGCCCATCAGCGCTCCCACAAGGCTGGGTATGCCTGTGGTGCCCCAAAATCCGCCCTCCTTGCCTATGTGCCAGCAGCGCTCGCCACTCGCTGTCCGAGAAGGCCAGTCCCCTAGCCCAGCTCAGAGGGGCTCTAAGCCACCTGCTGCCTGCACTGGTGCGCGCACTACAAGCTTGTTGCCTTGCGCTGCCCTGGTCCCCTCAAAAGGCTGACTATCCCTCACTGATCGAGTGTTCTCGAAGATCCCTTCTTCACCTCTGCAGAACGGCCTCTAGCCAACTCCTTCTGGACACCACCGCGACCATGAACGGCGTCAACGATACCGGCGCCGAAGTCTGGCGCAGCGATGCCTCCACCGACGTTGCGTCCCTCCTCGCAGACGAACCCGGCATCAACGCCAAACCCTCCCTGCTCGACGATCACAGCATGCGCTGTTCTACGACATGAAGTGCGCAGAAGGATGAGCACAGAGGGCCCTCTATCACGGCTCACAAGCATCACGGTACTTGCAGCACGACACAGTCGCTTCCGAAAGCTTCCTAAACGCTAGGAACGACCTCCATTTTACCCAGACGCACCCGAGTCTTTCCCCGAGAGTTCCCGGCTCGAAGCTCCCACGTCCAACCGTCACGAGCAACTTGATACCGATGCCAGCGATGACCACAACTCCGAGACCACGAGCAGCACAAGCGGCACCATCTCCGAGCTGGAACAACTTCTTGTCCAAGAGGGTCAAGGGAGTGCCAGTGGAGGACGAGCTCCGAGACCGTCATCCTCCAATTCGCATGCCACGACGCAGTCCGCTTTCGACAGTTCCACGAGCTCTCTCTCCTTCGAACAAAACACCGTCAGCCCTCAACTTTCAGATGGTGGTCTACACGTCAGGTTCATGAATGCGTTCCGCGGCTGGTAGATCCTCAGAGACACACTAGTCAAAGTCGCCAACGACCTTCCCGCCAAGATTAGCCACGACAATGAACAATACCAACCACAATCCGGATTACGGGTCGGTTTGGACCGACACAGCGGAACTGCTCATCATTGTTCCCACCCGAATGCATCGCGGCAGATCATCGACGAGAATGAGGTCGTGCCTGCTCTATGGATACATGGCAGCTCCATTGCTGCAGCGACTCACAGCCGATCATGTCTCCAATCCCAAGCATAAGTCGACAGTGTCGAGGCAGTATCCCGCGGGACTCACGTACCTGTACAGAGATGTGCCGGAGTGCAAACATATACTGGCAGGCTTTGCAGCCGGTTTTGCGACACCGGCAATGGTGGCGTCGACTCTGGAGGCAGACAAATGCTGCTGGCACTCACTGCTCAGTGCTGGTATAGACGAGCAGCTGGCTCAGCGTGATGAGAGCCGCAACCATCAGTTTGGGACATTCTTTCTCTGTGTCATTGGCGGAATTTAGGATCGTGTTGCTCCTGCCTTCACGGACCCGTTGCCAACCAAGAGCACGACTTCATGGGCACAGAGTCCTGTCTATTAATACTTGCACTTTCCCAATGCCACATCCACTTGAGTCTTCATGCTGCTTGCGCCGCGCATCGTTACGTAAATAACCCTACGTTCCCATGATACTAAGCGGTCAGTTGGACCACTCAGTCTTGAGTCTACTTAACTCCGAATTTCTTTTTCCACTTTTCTACTCGGTTTCCCTCTTCGTCGAGGAAGCTAAGGTAGCCTTTAATTTCATAGTGCCTCTGCTGTGGACGATCTCTGTGCCACGCAGCTTTTTCCTGCTGTTCTAAGTCACCTGCCGACTCGCGGAGGAAGTCACGGTAGTTGTCCCAGAATCTAGTACCACAATTCGGGTTGCCTCTGCTGTGAAGGATCTCTGCGCTGCGACAATTCAGCACCGTCGCCAGCCATTGATGAGTCTTGCTTGTCCTACGGTCCTGCATCCACTTGGGGCAGGAAGCGCATGCTGAACGCGCTGGACAGATCAGCACCGTCGCCAGCCATTCATGAGTCTTGCTTGTCGCGCGGTACTGTATGCCTTTGGAGCAGAGAGCGCCTGCGCAGTCATCATCCAGACCTGTCGTGGTGTCCTCGGCAATGTGTTCTGGAGAGGCGCATGATTCACTGGGCTTTTGGATGAACTCTTGAAACCAACGCAGCGAGGGTTTAGCCGCGGAGGTTGGAGAGGCCATCATCGTCTCTCGTGTCGTCGCTTCTCGCCGCGCAGCTTGTTGTCGTCGTATTGCGGCGGGTCTCGATAACGCCGACTGATGTGACGTTAGCGTGCTGGGCACGTTGGAAGGAGAATCCAGTCTTACACTGCGCTCGATGATGTGCTACAAGGCTCAGATGCAGCCATGAGAGAGGATGTGGTGAGTCGATGCCCGCGAGGTCGAGAGGAAGGTTAAGACAAACACAGCCCAGGGGACTTGTGTGCGAAGGGGTCAGATGTGATGCCACGACCGAGTCAGGTCTTCAAGGTTCGGTGGTGTGTCCGGGGACCCCTTTCTGTCAACAGTGCCGAATTCTGGGTGCATAGAGCCTAGAAAGCCACCGTCACTGGCGCTTGAGGAGCTTGTGGCGGCGAGATAGCGGTGGTCGAGCCGAGTCCCAGCGCTTGACGCCTCCTGCCCTGAGGGTCGCTTCGGGGGACTTTTGCATCTGAAGCGGCTTCCTGCCCTCCGCTCCCCCGTCATAACGCCAGGGCCAGGATATCATCACGCCCTCCTGGTCGTGGACTCTCACGGCAGGGTACGATCTAGACCTCCGAAATCATGCAGCACTGAGCATGCTCGACGACCTAGGGAGGTAAGCCTCCGCGCAGCCTGCATGTGCAAGGTGCTTGAGGCAGGCCTTGTGGATGTGTTCGGTGGTCCTCACTCCCACAAGACATGGGCAGTACTGTCTGCAGTGTCACACACACTACAAGCTGTCGTCTCCCCCCGCCTGAAAGCATATGCTCCTCCGTCATCGAGGACCTCGGCCCGCACCAGAGGGAAGCGGTGTACAAGTCCAGCACAGCGAAGATCCCACCGATGTTACATTCGCACTCGTCGACGGCTACAGCACCCAGGGCAGCGTCTCTCGCTGGACGATCGCTTCCAACCACGGAGCGCGATTGGACAAGGACCGACTCTCTCTCTCCTTCATTGGTCACGCCATTCACGAGCGTCACGGCACGGCGCAGTCCACGGACAGGCTCCTGCGCTCGATGAACCACCTCGTTCTGTACACACGGCCGCTCTTCCCGAGTGCCCCCTGGTCGCCACCCGTATGCTCCGTCCAGTACCATGTGCTGCTGACGAGCAGGCTCATGCCGGGAGCCATATCCTTGACTGGATGGACAAGAGAACCATGATGGCAGGCCACGGTCCACACTCGTCCGCCTGCCTTGCGACCCTGGGCGTTGGCCCATACTAAATTGATATCAGTGGCAATCCCGCCTGTCTCCAGTACTGAACTCTCTCGACCTGGTCTCTCACTCGAAATCCCCGCATCGATCACAAACTTCGCACCCGGCAGCCACCATCACCGATCCCATCTCCTCTATTCGGCCTTCGCCTCTCTTCCACCATCGTCCTTCTACCAAGCGACCGCGACACTGCCGAAATGGTCACGATTCAGTCACTCGGCTCGGCCTTTTTTCGACAACAGTTGGCTGTTGCCATATACAAGTTGGCGGATGTCCTAGAAAATTTAACCTATGTCACAGGCCTGCCACAGGAGAGCATCGGGCTCATCATCGGGTCCATAGCCTTCTTCCTCATCACGTATTTTTCTCTGGCTCCACTGGCATTCGGGCGGGTGTCCCGCGAGAAACGTTGGGAAGAGCTCACTCCAGAGACGCAGGATGATTGGAAAATGCGAACCAGTAATCTGGTCAAGGGCACCGCTTTCGGTTTCGATGCTGCCTACATCGTGATCACCGACATTCTCGCAGGGCGTGCCTATCTGTTCGAACGCATCTGCCACCGACGTGCGCACGGGGAGCGGCTCACAGCCATCGCCATGGGTTTCTACCTCTGGCACTCGGTATCTCTTGTTCGCAAGATTTGTAAGGAACCGGCTAAGCCAAGGCACTGGCAGGACCTGTTTCACCACATCGCGTCTTGTTCCTGCAGCTACATCTCCTTGGTATGTACCTCGCCGTATTGCAGGGCCAATGAGATTCTTTTTAAAAAGGCCTTAACTTCCCATGGACCAGCTGCTAATACTTATGTTCCATTCCAGACACTACTCCCTTTTCCTCGACTATCATATTTCTTGAGCTTCGAGATTACCAATATCCCATATAACCTTTCCGCCATGTCCGAAATCCTTGGTCACAAACGTGCGAAGGAGACATTTGAATCTCTATGGATTCAATCCTTCCGGTGCATCCGGCTGGTGTTCGGGTTTTATGTAGCGCTCGCCAATATTTACGATACGAGACCACAGGACGGTGTAATGTTGACGGGAGCCTCAGCAGTGTCGTCACAGATAGAGGAGCTGGCAAGACTCTGGTGCAGACTCTGCGCGTGGCTAATATTCTTGTTGTGCATTGATTGGTATGGGAAGATCAACAACCGAAAAGAGAAAGCCACAGCGACCAATGCGGCTGAGGCCGTGCCTGAACCTCAGTCATTCGATCGGGCTTGTCCAGCCATCTCTCAGACGCTCGTCGCATGCGAGACACTTATCAGAGCCTCTTTGGCTCAACTGGAGCTGGTCAGCTCGCTACTTAAGGAGATCCAAGCAAGCGGACAGCACAGCACACAAGATGATGGTGGTGGTGGTGGTGTTGTAGTAGGGGTGGGGTCTGAGGCGACTAATCTCATCCCAGCATATGCAACAAGCCCATCTGCCCAAATGGAGTAAGCAACAGGTCTGCGCGACAAGCGATGTATGTAGTCTAGGCAAACTCTCCCATCGGCACTTCCAATCGCACCAGGGTTTCCACAATGTCTTGATCACTTATACCTGTGCATGCGGACAATGTCCGCCCCTCAAGCATCGTAGAATAGAGCCAGCGCGTGTTAACAAGAGTCCAGTTGCCAACGTTGGATGGTTGCGCCTGCGCTTGGATGATATTTGTCTGGTGCCTGCGCCAAATTTCCATACACTCTCGACAAGAAGGACAGCTCCCGACAAGGGACTCAGCAGCCGACGAGGCAAGGCAGACGCGGCCCGCCAGTCCACCTCACTTCTGCTGCCCCGCGCCCGCGCCAGCCTCACTACCCTATCCACGATCCCCGCCACAGAACCACCAGCCTTCTGTGTCCACCTGGCCCGCCTCGCATGGCTTGAGCTGACGACCCGACAGCCCATATTGTCGCGCGGGCGAGTAATACGTCTGCCGCATGTGGTCACATTACCCGCGCCGAGTCTTCGCATATCGACCTGAGTCACCCCTGTCCTCACAACCGAGATGTGACGTAGTGCTTGCCCCCGTCGACTCACGAGCCCGGTCAGTCTTGCTCGAAGTCTGCGAGCAGCGGTCCCACCAGCGACGCTCTCGGGCCGAGTGAGCCAAGGCCAAGCACGGCCCCTACAGGTCGGTGCTGCTGCGCGGAGCCCGGTCCGGTTCCTGGCTCATGGACGTGCATAAGCGCCAACCGCGGGTTGGGGTGGTCCAGGGGCACAGACAGAAGCGCAAGGCCCTATCGGAGGGATGCTCGAGGTGGTGGCTGATCCATGCCATAGACTACTCTATTGGTCATGCGAGTGCCCACTAGTGCGGCCAGTGCGAAGCACCTTCGCTCCCGCAATCATGCCCTGCCAAGAAGTACCCGATGCAGACTTGCTTGCTTGTCAGTGCTAGCAAAAAACAAGGACATTTCACTTGATACTCCGATAAGTGAGTGCCGGCACGAAGGAATGCTTCCCTCGCACTTGTTTCTGCACACCAACCCCCGGCACACTCCTCCGCCGATGCGAGCATCACCAATCATGTGTATCCTGGAGGAAGAGCGTGGCAATTGCAACAATCTTTGCGTCGTCAAGCGGACAAAAAGGGCCTGCAGAAATGGGCTCGCCAATGCCCACTTCGCTGCTGCCCATACACATCAGATAGTTCGTCAGGAGATACTTTGCGTCGGTCGCTGTCCATGCGGCAGACCCGAAAAACACCAGGACCCTGCTGTTGATCTTGTCGGACATCACAGGTATGTGGCCCTGCTTTGCCTCTTTCGCGAAGGGCATGCTCTGATTGATCGGGCAGTTTGGCGAATGTGCCATTCGCGATGCTGTCTCCACAAGCCCAGATCGAGGATTGCCTTTTCCGAGTTCGAGACCTGGCCAAGCGCTACGCTGCTGGGTAGCATGCACTACGTCTGTCCTCGCCAAGCCAGCGCCATCAGCGCAGAAGCGAGCGATGGATCACACAGCCTTGAATTACCACGATCAAGGGCCCAGTGGCAAGGCCGCAATCGAAGCGGCGGTCACGTCTCTGCGAGTCACCAGGCCGAATATTCTGTAGCAAAGATAGCATGTATGACGTTCAACACCACCTTGCAAAGCTGTTTGAGATAAGCATTGTCTGCCCATCTCTCTGCATCTCATTACTCGTGTTGGCACAGGTTCCATAGTGGACCTGTGGTTCAGGTACTGCTCACGTTCGGTGCATTTTACCTGGCGATGACCATGCGTGCCTGGTGTGTGTTCTGAAGAGGTGTTGGCGTAGGGCAGCTTGTGCTCGTTCTGGTGGCAGCGCTGAGCGCCACTCATCTTGAGTATGGTGCGAGGCGCCAAGATCGAACACGAGCCGCACAGCCGCGCAACGGCAGCTACGAGACGGCGTTCCCTGTAAGCACGCCCGGGCGCCGCTGGACACATCCCGCTCGGAGCCTAAAACAGCTCCACTGTCCACATGTCGGGTTGCGCCACCACGGTGAGATGGCGCACACAGTCACCCTGAGTGGATGCCTTTCAAGTGTATCCCAGCGATAGCCTGATGGGCTGGTAGGTGGCCCACCTCGGCTGCTGAGGCCCACTGTATCCTTTGTCGAGGTGCAGTGCAGGCTCTCCGGTCAAGACCATGCGAAGAGCGTTGTGTGCCCTTTCCTGCCCAGTGAGTGCTTGACTAACAACGCAGTGTGGCTTAGTGTGCTTGAGTGGTCCTAATCGCCATAGAAAGGGATAGCTACGTGCCGGTGCAGGACTTTGCTGGCATTGATGTCTGTTCAGGTCCTGGCCCACTCTGCTGGTGCTATGCCTTTGCTTATAAAAGACCAGTCGCACCTTGTTCCTCCATGGCTCGCTCGCAGCTGTTCAAACAACCGGTACACATTCGCCGACATTTTCGCCTAAACAAACGAAATGACGACATTCCTAGACCGTGTCACTGCAACTGGCCGTGAACATGTTCGGAATCATCTCCATCCATTCTGCAGCTTATGCAAAGAGGAGCTCGACATATATAGCAAGGTCGTCATCTGTGAGTCCGGAGTCTGCCTGTGGAAGGACGAAACATTAATATCATCTCTCAGTTGACTTGGCCTCTGACGACGAGCATCCAATCGGTTGCAAAACACACATGATCCGTTCATTCAGGAGATCTCATGAGATCACTCCTCAAGAGATTCCTTGTGAAGCACAGAGGTCGTATTGCGCAGACATCAACTGCCATCAGTGCTCGCCTAATTGTCGCAGCGTGAGCGCACATCAGAAATGCGTCAAATGGCTACAAGACATATCCCATGCTTTCGAAAAGCAGAGTGTGCTTGATTCCGACAGCTACGTTATTTTCTTCCTACGCACGCAATCGCCTTGGACGCTATGCTGGTCTGGTCCGCTCTTACCCCCGAAACTACTGTACGAGCCTGGGCATGAAGCGCCTAGCGGGGAAGAGCCGCCTCAGCGTCAACTTCGACCGTACGGCCCGGCAGAGCAGGATGAGCATCCACCTCGACCACGCAGCCGGGCAGAGCAGGATGAGCATTCACCTCAGCCACCGTACTTGCCGATTGAGATAATGATGCAAATATTCAATCTCGCAGATGAAACCTCCCGCCGGTGGCTTTATTTGCGTCATTCAGTTCTAAGGCCCAAACCCTGGATGGTGGAGAAGCGATGGGACCTCAGGCGTGTCCGCTCATGGAAACGCGGCGAAGATCCAAAAGTGGTGGATTCGGCCGTGCCCAGTGAAGACCTCTGGCTGAAATTTGATTGTTCTGGACTCGTCGAGCTCTGTACTGCGAGTGAGGCAGGTGTTCACGGCTGGACTGACATCTACCTTTTCTGCAAGGTCGACTCGACAAGCCGTCTTCAAGATAGCCATGCTATCTTCCAGGTAAGGGCGCCACTCTGAAACCTTGAAGACCTGCACGCTAACGAGTCAGTCGGGGATGTGCTACGTCAAGCCACCGGATGACTATGGTGGGCAGATATTACTCGCGAACTCAACAATCGCGTACAACAAATTGCTGCCACCCGAATCTGAATCGGCAATCGTGGCGAATGGGGTACCGCTCCAGAAGTGCTTTGGCATCACGTTCTTTTTGCTGCAAACCACCGACGACATTGTTGGTGTGCATGTACACACGAAGAGCATCTCACACCCCACCAGAACTCACAGGTGGTTAGAAGCTTCTAAGAACTGTCGGCTGGGGAGCATATTCATACCACTGGCGCCACTCGGAGCCAGTTTCATGGTCGTGAAGTGGGACATGGGCGGGTTCTCGGTACGTCTTCGGCAGCCTCTACAGGGAAGCTTGAGCTGACAAGACCAGTTTCATAATGAGTTCGGGACTCGTTCTGTTGGTCGTGCTCGAAAGCCCATCCAGCCAGGGGACAAAGGCGTGGCTTGCAACGTGGACGCTAACCCTACACTTATTTTCTACACGAACCAGGCCAGTGGTGTAGAGTCGATCGACCTTGTTTCAAGCAACACATTCTACTACGAGCACATAGGACGTTCTCCGTGCCTGGGCTGTGCGTCATTCCTCAGTGTCAGGGATCTCAGCTGGTTTGTTCGACCACTAAAAGGCGCAAACCTTGATTACATTCACGCTGCTATCATCACTCACGAGGATGGGTCTCGCAGCGCAGTCGGTGATTTCGGTTTGGAGTCCTTAGTTGAAAAACGTTTCGGCAGCATGGACGAAATCAACGAGATAAGGAAGGAATTGAAGACCTGCAAAAAGTGCGAAAGGGATGCTTGCGCGTCATCACTCATACGCCGCTGCATCAAACGGGCCTGAAGTCTATTTAAGATACAACCATAAGCACTGGGTTCCCCGTTTGTCAGGTTCTGATGCCCTAAGCGCATCACACAAACAAACATATCGTAATCATGTGAATGCACTAACTGTCACGCCCCTGATCTCACACTTCCCGAACATGATGAACACTGGCACATATTCCTGAGTGAGAAAAAAAAAGTAGCTGCTGTTGCGTGCAAAGTCACCGAGTGTGATGAATACTGCCTGTAGGCTGTTGTGACCGGACACCATCTGGAATGCGCGGTGGTGACGGCTCTTATCGGTGCCACGCTCGCCGTGTTCGGATTCTGGTCAGCCAAGGCCGGCCAGTGCTATGCCTGAGCCTTTTTCACCGCTGAATTCACGGTATACCCATGAAGAATAACAACAGCATCCCGTGTCTGGCTCATCTGCCTCTGGCGAGAACCCTAGCTGGCGATCCGGCGGTTCGTCCTGGCCAGAGGCCGAGCATCGCACAGCAGGACCGATCGCCAGCCTGAGTGCCCTGCGGTGGTAATGGATGCCTCCGCGCTAGAGTCACTCTTCAAAGCGTCGGCCGGCAGTAGGGCCTTTTCGAGGCTTCAGACGCCACCACTGTGGGAGGGGTCCCATCTGCTGTTGTGCGCTGATCACCCCCCGCAGCCCATAGCCCGCATACAGAGAGCCCTACTGACACGGGCTGAGAGACAGGCTGCCCACTGGCGACTGCTTCTCCCGCCCTTGTCCTTGCTAGCTTGCGTAGCTTGGTTTCGTCTTGTTGGACTGTCCACATCGCTGGAGCTGGGATGTATTACCCTCTGGGCTCCTTTCCCGGCGCAGCCTAGCACTGCAGGTGACTGGATCCAGCAGGGTCGACATGGGGAAGGCGAGGCTTCGTGCGGACAGGGTGAGCAATGGCTTGGATGCAAGGCATATGCATCCACAGTTCTGTTGGCAGTAATGGGCTGGTCGTGAAGCCTCTGCACCACTCGGATGGCCCCCTTCAATGTCTTGAGGGCCAGAGTCGGGCACTGCACCCCATTGTTGCAGGGGACTTGCGCCCTTGGACATACGCAGCTGCCGCTTGGCGTTCATGTCAGTCATAAGCGTGAATCTTGACCATGGGATGCTAGGCCCATGACGCGGACGCCGCCAGGCAAAGGGGACAACTTATCCCCACTGGGCCACCATTCTCGGGGCTGAGGACGTACTTCATATCGTGGGAAAAACGACGCAAAAGTCCCGATCCTGTCGTGTTGGACCACAGTGGTTCCATCAAGATAGATGCTGAGAGGAAGTGGTGGCACGGCGGGCCCACTGATTAGGACATGAGCCCAGTACAGGAGTCACAGCTGCTGCATGAAGCTACCAAGCCATGTTTATGATGCTATGCAGAGAGCACACCGTGCCGGATGAAGTGTCCTTCAATCCCACACGCGTCACGGCATTTCACTATCACATCCGCTCGTCCGAAGAAGTTGGTCAAGGCGAGGCACTCAGCATCTGAGAGCGGGGGACCGCCACGCAGTCTTGCTTGTCCTCGAGCGCGAGTCAAAGGCGGGAGCAGCACAGAGGTCTCACGAGCGCCGTCCCATTGGCTTGTGGCGTGCCTAGGGCTATGTGTAGTGTGCGCCCCGAGGTCGCCCAGCAGCATTCAGTAGAGGGTGCCCAGCACGCTTGGTCACAAGCAGGCACCTAGACAGCGTGACGTTGCTAGGCGTAACTCGCTGTAGTGGTCCTCCGTTCAGGCATACCCTGCCCGGTCCCTTCTCGCTCCTGCCTCAACGAAGCGCTGACCATTCTCTGTTCGCACAACAGGCCCCTCCTCTGCCTGCTGTTCCCCTCCGTCGGAGCCTTCCTTCTTGCTGCCGGGTACTGTTAGCCTGGAAAGAAGGAGCGTTTCTCGAACATGGGCACTCGAGCTGTGAGCTGTAGAGCCCTCCCAGCCCCCCTTTCCAAGCCCTTCCTTCCGCAGCAGCCTTCTCTCTTACCCGCGTTTCCGTCCAACTTCATATGCGTGGCGTGCCGGCTCCCCTGCCGATCGACGCATCCTCCCGACTTGGCTGGCGTATGAACCATCCCAGAACATCTATGTCCCCTGCGCCGGACGCGACCTCCAGGCGCACGCAGCAGAGCAAGCTGACGTCGTTGCAATGGTCGAGTACGCACGATCGCAAGGCTGGTTACCTGTGTCGAAGCCAAGCCTCCCCCACTGCCTTCCCTGGCAACGGCTTCCGGAGTGATGCCATTACACGCTCACCAAGCGCTCTCACTAGAGGCGAAAAAAGGTGTTGCCACTGACCGAACTGCTAGCTGGTGGTGGCCTAGATTTTAGCAGGCTTCTAGGTGTCACACGCCCCCCACCCCCCAAAAGGCAGTTTCCTTGACATGATGTTTGATTCTGTTCACAGCCTTGTCGCGTAGGTTCCCTTCTCTTCTCTCTTTCGGGGAGGGGGGCTGCCACGGCGGCTCGGTTATCGACCTCGGCCCTGTCCGAGATACCTACGGTCAGTCATCATGCCGCGCAATTTTACCTGCAGCCCAAGAACTGAGAGGTGCCAGGTTACCCTGGTCCCCGTCCCCAGGCTGAGCAGCATTGCCTTGCAGCCCTGGTTTGGCTCCAACGATAAAAGGTGATCGCGAGCCCGATCCTCGCACCCGATTCTTCGTCTTTTCGCGTTCTCATACTACCCCTCAACGATCTCTCTACTGCAGACCCCCACAGCCGCCTTCGATATGGCGCGCATTGGCCAATCCTTCCATATTCCTTCAGCTTCAAGCTTGTCGATTGAGATATCCTTCGTCCCCGCACCTTCGCGCGATCTCGAACCGACAACATGGCCATCCGAACCGCACCGTCCCTCAGCATCGATGTCTACTGAGTTGGGCTCCTTGAGGCCCAATTCTTGCACTGCGACTTCTCGCAAACCATGTCACTCCTATCGACGGAGTCTAGATCCTGCTAGTATCCCGGAGATCGGTGGTACAACCACCATCACTGAGATCAGTCACGAGTCCGCACCCATCGCCTTCAGGAACATGGCTCGCAATATCGTATCCTGGGAGAAGCACACGTTCCTCGTGACGGTATTTACCTGGATTCTCCTACGTCCGGACGTGGAAGCTTTGTCAAGACGTGCCTTTGAGCGTCACGCTCCATTTCATTACTCCAGACGCATTTGCTCGAATACGTTTCTCGAACGCGTGGCCGCGAGCGCCGAGGCTGATCGACGCTTGCCTGGCGACACGATATTCGAACCGGCCGACGCTGAAGACGACAGGCACGTACATGGTCTCACATGTGAAGAGGGCAACCTTGGTGAGGAGGACGACCTGGATGAGGACGGCCTGGATGAGGACGGCCTGGATGAGACGGGTGACATGGGTGAAAAGAGAGCGTCTATGGTGCTCTATGTCCCTCTCAGACTCTTCGTCGTGCAAGGTCGACATCAAAGTGTCAGGAGAGAGGACCACCATCTTGTCCGGCGTCTCGTTCATGTGCTTGATGAGGAGGACAATCTTCGTTCAAGCAACAGGCACCTTCAGCCAGCCCTCTGCCCGCAGTCTCAACTCACTGCTGACGCCAAGCAACGCCTTGCTTCCTTCCATACTTCACGACTTGATTCAGCCGAGCTGGCCCACACGGCACTGGTCCCGATCGCGAGGGCCAGCGGACTGCAGATTCAGCAATTCCACGTGGCAAGCTTGCTTCTGGCCTATATAACGTTGTCCCTCTCGCCGCATGCCGATGGTGCGGAAGACGACATACTTCCCTTGATGACTTCACCAGCCAAAGATGCTCCAAAGTCGGAGTGTTGCATCTGTGGCACGCCAATTGATTCAGGCGCAGAGGGCGAAACTTGGCGTGGTCATGCGCAGATATGCACCTCACACGAGGGCCATACAGCCCACATCAGCTGTCAGAGAGCGCTGATTCAAGCAAAAGAGGAGCACCCTGTACACCGAGGGAAGGGGAACAAACTGAAGTATGACCCTGCATCATGGATCAGCTTCATCGAGAAGCTCGCCAGCTGCCCGACAGCATTTGACCTCCCTGTGCGGGATTCTTCTCAAGAGCTGATCCCGGACAACACTCCCTTGAGAGCGCTGCCCGCAAAAGCTTGTCTACGTGTCTTACACTACCTCCAAGAGCCCTCAGATCTTCTTTCACTAGCGCTGGTGTCTCGAGCATTCTATTCATACGTCAACTACTGTTGTGAAGAGTGGGCTTGTCGGAAACATAATCTGCTGAGAATTCCCACGTCAAGCCCGGGGCTTGGTACAAGGTATGGGAACAGGTCGCACCCCGAGCTCGCCAGTCGTTCGAGGATAGCTCGGAGCATTTGGTCGCGGACTCACCAACGGAGGCAGAGACTGAGATCGCGGTGCCGTGCGAGGCTTCGACTTTTCCTACTGGATTGATACGGTCAATTGTCTTGGGAAGTCTTCAATCAGCAGAGGGCTTGATAAGTAACATCGAGCAGCCGCGAAGGCGACCACGAAGGCGCGGGCGCCAGCTGCGACCGTCTCGCACGTCCTAGTAGAACAAGAATGAGGTAGATAAAACCAGCATCGATCCATGAACCCTGTGAAGCGTACTGCGTCTAAGCCAAACTGTTCTCGCATGTGTCCAGCTCTTGATGAGGTTTTAAACCCTCCATCGTGGAAGTGTGATGTTCGAGTGCCAGGAAGGAGCACCGCCAACTTGTCCCCTATCCGATTCTTTTACTTTGGAATGGTCAAGGTTTCATCCCAACGGGTATTATGCTCTAGTCATCACTTCATTTTCGGTAACACGTGACAGCAACATGTATGTTCAGGTTGTGAGATGCATCTGCCATGCTGCGGATTGTGCCTAGGACGATACCTTCACATGTTTGCAACCTTGCGATCATGCATACGGACATAAATCCCTGCCAACGTTCACAAAGCGCATCCATCCGAGATAGGCCACTTCTTAATTCTCGCGAAAAACCATCATCTCACTTCCCAGAGTCCGCGCATGGCCAGCAGCTCATCTCCTGGAGGAGCGAGGATGACAGCTTTCAGTGATATAGTGTTGTCGGCGAAGGATGAGGCTGGCTGCTGGCTGCTGGCTCGGGCCATTCGAACGGACCGGAAGTTACAATTCTTCTGGTAGTGTTTCAGGTGCGAATATCATCCAAAGCATCGATGCTTGCCGTGGAGAGCCCCCCCCCCCCCCTAAGATGCGGTTGGCGCAGGGAAAGGACGTTCCCGCCGCGGTTCAACCGACGCAAATGAAGCGCCCTGAACATCAGTCCCAAAGCGGAACGACCTCGCCGCAGCTCAGTTGGGGCAGACCATCGTCGGGATTGGTTCGCAGACTGATAAACTGGCCTTGACGCGACTCGATCTGTATGATCAGTCACACTAAACACCTAGTCGCCGCCGCCAATACCATCATTACCGCTCAGAGTACGACGGCAAAGCGACCGCCCATACACGCGTGCCTTGAGCACAAACCTTTCCCTTGCATGCATCTCTGGGCGGCACAATATTCGGAACTCGGGAAGATGAGTCGGCAGGATTCCGCAAAGCTCTGGGGTCTTAGATGTGCTCTCTACAGGATATCATGCTGTTGCAAGGCTGCCCTATCGTTTGATACCATTCTGGGCCAATGGATAGGCTCGAGTTTACTGCAAATGGCATACATCAGACCCTCGTCGTCTTCATAACACCAGTGACACCGTCATTGGCTATTTGCATACCACTGCTCGACGTGAGCCGATCCTTGCTATCAAATGAGGGAAACACCCCTGCAGGATGGTTGACATGATCTGGCTTGCAGTCTGCATGGCCCTTGCCACCACGTGTCATCCAGCTGAATCAAGCCCCAGTACACGTCTCCTTCAACCAGCAGGCTTGTCCTTGATCGTGGGGTCCCAAAGGCGGCCCGACACATCTACAACCACTGAACGTACTCTGACATTTACTGGTAGCCAGTCTGTCTCGCGTGTGTGAAGGACGCCACCAGATAAAACAACCAGCTAATACCCATTTGTCCAGTCTCCGCGCAACGCCCAGCACGTCGCGGGCTGTCTTCTGGAGGCATCGCCTTGCATTGATGATCCTGACTGGATGTCAATTGCGTGATGCGACCCTGGTCGATGATTGCTGGTCCCTTGCTCTGAGGCCGTTCTTGCGAGTGTGGCGCGGGAAACCCCGACTACAGCTCGGCGCCTCAGCGCGTATGCCGTCTAAGCTGCGGTGCCAAGTTGACACTACCGCCATCTCCGTCATCGGCAAATAACTTCAGCGTAAAGGCATCAGAGCCCGCCTCGGTCGGGCTCGCATCCATTAGCACTGGCTCCAATTGCTGAAAAAGGCTGTCCCAACCCAGTGCCGCACTGCGACATTGACCAGACACTTTTGCCCTCGTCCATCCTCCCATCTCAGAAAAGTCTTTGCCACAACTCAACACCGTTGCAATCTTTGGCAACATGAGAGCCAACTCTTGGAGACGAGCGCAAGCCCGGGCCTGTCGGAGAAATGGTGGCTGCCCCACATTTCATCACTTGTACCCTGCCGAGCCAACACAGTGGAGGACAGCCTCCAACAAGATGCTGTAAGCACGAATGAACTTTTGTCAATGGCCGCACGCCACCAACTTCACTTCCTCCCTGTATCTTCTGGTGCGGCTGCGCCGTTTGTCTGCAGCCCTGCAAGATACCAACCTGTGCCCATCTATGTCGAAGTTGAGGTTGTCACTCACGCGTATGCTGCGCCCGACCATGAGAGGTATTCTATCAATGAAGCCAGGAACCGAGCGGCAATGCACCGCTCCGCTGCTCATGCCGAGCAAGGGGCTAGCGCAAACCCTCTTGTCCCTGCGCGGCCCAAGAACTCTCCGCCGAACGAACCTTGCAGCGGGCCAATGATCGAGCGACCAGGGCGTCGCAGGGTTCTGATAGCAATGCGCTGCACACTTGCTGTCGGCCCGCGCAGGGCAGAGTGGTGGGCGTACCCGAGAAGAATGAGTTGTGTGGGGCAGCTGGAATGCCAAGATGGCCCACCCTATTGTGCCATCCATGGATGGCAGCCGAGCTGACCGGCTCGTCGCGTGGGGGTCGGCACCCCACGCTTTCAGGGTGCAGCGGGTCCCACTCGGTGCAGCTGCGCAGACGCTGGTCGTCCTCCTCTACTACCTTGAACCTAATTGGATAAAGGTCTCTAAAAGAAGAAAAGAAGTCGCCGACACTTTGCAGTTCCTGGTTTGACGCTAGTGCGTCTCTTCGGGTGGCGCTCGTCCTTGCTCCAGCCTCCGCGATACAGCAGATCCACAACGCACTGATTCCGTGGGTGAGACCCGGAGACAGGTCATGTAATTACATCACATAACAGGGATGGATCCGCGTCACATGCTGTCTCCTGACGCTGCTCGTCCTGGCGGCATTGCTCCATACATAAGTCCGAGCATGGAATACGGATTGCCCATCTCAGTCCCACCTAGCGAGTTCAGACACATACAGGCTTCGCCGAGGTCGCCACCGGAGAAACCTCGTGCTTCTCATCATTCTTCAGACCAATTACTACGCACTTCGCACGCGTAGCAGAGCCACCGCGCCGTGGGGCCATGGCGAGCGCTATCGGTACGCCCATTGCCCACAACGAAGGTCATCCTCATTCAGCGCGGATGCCAATTCGCATTCTAGGCATAGACGAGTCCATGGTGAAGCCAGACCCAGACGCTCCACTGCTCCCCCAGCCGCAACATGCCAGTAGGACGGGCCACTCAATCGTCGGCCCTTCTCCAACACCTCACGGCACTTATCACGGACTTCCACGGCCTTATGGACAGACCTTTCACAACGACCGGACCATACGGCCTCCCTCAGCTCCGCACACGGCGACTCAGACACCAGTGCCTCATCATAACCCGTACGACGGGGGCCAGTACGGCCATTGGGGTCACCCAGGTCCTGCACCGCCGCCCATGACATACCACATGCCAGTCGAGATTGCCCAAGCCGCAAGTGCCAAACGGAAGGCGACGAGAGCATCTCAGGTATGGGGCCTTCCTGCGTGCTGTGCAGCTAAACAATACTGACCTCAATTTCATAGGTTTGTGACTCGTGTCGTCAGCTCAAATCCAAGTGTGATGAGTCGAAACCGTGCAAGACTTGCAGAGAACGAAACATCCCATGCGTGGTCCGCGACCCACAACCCAAGCAGTAAGTTGTGCAGAGTAACTAAACATCCGGGTGCAGAATACTAATCTAGGGTATCGCAGATCCGACAAAGCTAGCGCTGACATACTGGATGTCCTGAATGGCTTGAGAGATGATTTGAAGCAGAGGGTCGACAAGATTGACAACTGCCTTGGTCGATTGGAGAGCGGAGTCCACGTAAGCCACCAGAATGGCGCTGCACACTCTGATATAGAGTCGATTGAGGGTGACGACTATCAAGATGATGCAAGCCCGTACGACCATCCGTCTCCCGATGACCGACGTGCCGAGGACGAATGTGCGGCAAACAATGGAGCCATGGATCCGGACAAGGCAGAAAGAACGATCCGAATCTGGGAACACAATGACAGCGACGAAAAGCCGGGGCCACCAGTCGCAGGCAAGACGAAGCTGCCCGCAAACCACACTACTTCGGCAGGATTGTTGTTGAAGTGGGAGTCGATACGCCGGCTGGTTGCTCCTCATCTCGCTGCCGAACACATTGGCTATGTTGAAGAGTTCCCGATTCGACAGGAAAGGGCTCGCGGCTTGCTGCGCGTATGCGGGGCCGGAGAAGGCTCTGGGGGAGGACATGCCCCAGCAGACCACACAGACCAACCAGCAGACAACATCATGACCGATTTCCAAGACGATAGCTCGGAGACACAGTCTTCAGCACTCAAATCAGAAGTCTGGGGCCAGACCGGACGGCTTTCCCCGGCCTCAGGCATGACGTTGAACGGCGGCGTCATTGGCAAGGACGGAAATCCAGGATTTTCGCATTCGACTGTGTGGAAATATGTCACCAGCTTCAAGGAGAACATCTTGAACATGCACCCGGTCATGATACTGGAGGAGCTGGATGCGCTGGTTGTGCTTTTTCTCAAGGAGATCCCCCAGCATACGCAGCAGTCGAGTGTGCGATCAAGCAGCAACCCCAAATTCGTACGCCAGCCAACATCTGCCGCTGCATCACTGCCCGAGGCTGTCGGTGCCAAGAGGAAACGCTCACCTGGCGGCGATGATCCGCTACCATCCTTCAACATCTTTAAACCCGGCCATCCTTTCCGTAGCATAACGAGCGCCATCGTTCTGCTCGTTTGTGCGCTGGGCAAGATTTGCCTCCACAAGCAGAGGATTCCTGACATTGTCACGGAACAAGGTGAGGCCCAGCCACATCGATCGCCTTCCATGCGAAATGGTGGCGCCATGTCTCCGATCCACGGCTCTCCGCCTGGGTTCATCTCTCACTCTCAGTCTTCTGGATTGCCTTCGCCACAAGACCCATACGACCGTGCCATGCCCAGTCGCCGTAAATCTATGCAGGGCAACGGGACGGGGGTGCGTCCGACACCAATCAAGCGAAACTACGACGTTATTCCTGGACTTGAGTACTTCGCACTGGCAACGGACATTCTGGGCAGCCATCTAGGCGGGATCAGTCTCAAGCATGTTTATGCTTGGGTCCTTGCTGGTCTGTATCATGGGCAACTCGCGAGGGCTGTGGAAAGCTGGGCATACATCGAACAGGGCTGCACTGTTCTGCAGGAGGTCATGAGGACGTAAGTCAAAATCACCATAGCTGGCACTGAGCAGCGCTAACTTCGAAGCAGGAGCCTATACCGATTCCACGAGATCAAGATGGGCGATGGGTATGTGCCTCAAGAGTCCAGGAGGGACAACCAGGTGCTCCTGGCGTACTGGACCTGCTTGCAGCTGGAAAGGTAAGAGACAGGTCCAACTTACTAACGTTGGGCGCCTGCTGACATCTTTGTGCTCAGTGACATCCTTGCGGAGCTGCCACTGTCCCAGAGTCCCATTCTGCAGCACGAAGACAACATGCCTTATCCGAACACAACCTTTGTGACAGCCCATGGCTACACTCCCGAAGTTTGCGGCAGCTATTTTGCCCAGCTTCATCTCAGGCGTCAGCTCAATGAGATCCACAGCCACTTGTATAATCCGGACAAGATACATCGACCCTCGTCCCCGGAGACGATCGACGAAGGCATTCATGGTCTCCAAACCCAACTGAAGACATCCCGCGATATCTGGGTCCCTGCCGCGTTCAGATGGCATGATGATGAGCCGCCTGCTGGCGATATCCTCTCTGCTCGCCTGCGTGCAAAATACTGGGGATCACAGGTCATTATCTATCGCCCCTTCGTACGACATTTGCTCGAGAAGGAGCCTATCCCATATGGCGCGTACAAAGATCCTCGACTTCCCCCACCAGAAAGCTTCCATAAATTGGCAATCAACATCGGCGACAAGTCGGTTCCCGAGGGGTTCGACCCCCGCACGCTTAACTATGCCCGGCTTGGCATCGAGGCGTTGATCCAGAGCACCAGTGCATTCCATGGCATGCCGCGCAAGCAGCGCATCATTGTAACCAACATTTTTGGTACTGCTCACGCGTAAGTAACTCACTGTCGATCACTCTCGACACTGCATTGAGAAGACCTGACTCGTTCGACTCTAGCCAATGGGGCAACCTCCTCACCCTGGCCGCCTGCTACACCGACTCACTTCTTACGAGATTTGTTGATTCCGAAGTGCTGTCTGGGCTGTTCAGGCGGACAATTGAGTTCTTTGACGTCATCGCGCACCGGTCAAGCCCCTTGAGGTCGGAGCGCAACATCCTATTTGGACTGGCGAGTGATCTGGGGCTGCTGCGCGACGATCCCCACACCGGCTCAAGTTTTTCCAGTATGACTAGCGGCATGGTGCTGCAGTTCATGATCCTATCCAGTGGCCCAAGGCTGGTCTGGACGGAGACAGGGTGATGGAGTTCTGTCAGCGAATGGTGGCGTGACTTGAGCGAGCTCCCTTCAACTGTCTCTAGTCCTTTTTCGCCTCAGAGCGTGCGGTGGCTGGGAAGTGTGTTCTGCTCGGAAAGTGCTCGTGGAAGGTATTTTCGCACAACCGAATAATGCATCAGCATGATCAGCTCCGTGGGCTCAGAAACACCTGTGTGCCCCACATGTTTGATCGCCGCTGGCGGCAGCTGTACATTGAGGTTTGCACGATGCCTACATCGTGGGGAGCCCTTCGCATCATTAGCGCACTGCAATCCTCGTGCAGAGCATGAAATCGCCTCAGGGAACTGACGTACTGGATTGGTAAGGGGTAGGGTATGTAAACCCGAACCCAGGCCTCAAATGCCACGATCACTCGCGCGATCGTCCGCCTCACCCTTCCCGGCTTCTGTGGCCTGAGGAAAGGTGCCGTCGTGACCCATCGCTACAGTTGGTGTTGTCGTGCATCGTGGGTTCCCGGCTGTCCTCGCCGCCCCTGGGTTCCGCAAGAACTGCCGTGATCGCCGCCAACAGCCTCGTGCGAATGATGGCGGAGGTCATCGCGCCTTAAGGTTCCCTGGCAGCACTCATCTAAGAGGCCAGACTCAGCGGTATGATTGTTGTCGATGTCCATTGTGGTCGCAAGCTCCTCGCTGACGAGGCTGTTGGGCGCAGGTAGTCTTGTTGCGGGTGGTCCTCATCGCTGGATCCTCGACCCCGTCTTCGGCATGGGCGTCCCATTGACCTGTCCAGCCATGGTGGTGCTTGTACCATTGGGGATGTGATTCACTCCAGTGTTCTCGTCTTCCCTACCGCCATCACGATACTCGTCCCCAACACTCTGCTCGTGCACACTACTGTCTTTTTGAACTTCATGGGGAGTAGTCGGTGGCGCAGTGCAACTCTGGGCATGCTCGACAACTCCAGTGTCGTTCCGGCAATCGTGACTGCCCTTGATAGAAGCTCCAGGGCAGCGATACTAGGCAAAGCCACGGGGACATTCTCTAGTCCCTCTGGTCTCTCTGGGCCGTAGCCAGGCAGTAGTCTGTCCCCGTCTTTCTCTGATCGGAGCAGCAATTGTCCAGCTGCGGTGTGTGCAGCCAGCTCATTGGCCGCATGGTTTGTGACGTGGCGGACGTCTCCGATGGCTGGGGATTCGATGGGTTGCTGGTCGTTGTCGACTCGTCTGGACGAGCCCGACGCGGTAGCAGGTCTCGGCTGTGGCCCTGTAGCGACAGAGGCTTCTGTTGAATGCGCTACACGGGACTCCGTCATGACCACTTCAATTGTCGCCTCTGTGTTCGATCATGGTTTCGAGCAGGACTTCGCTTGTTGTCTTGGGAGTGCAGAAACCTGCCGTGTTTGGTGTTGTCCACGAGGCTTCGCCTGTCGCATCGACATCTGCGGCCGAGCGGGAGGGCGTCGCGCCGATTCTCGCTGTGCTGTGGGCAGGAAGAGGTTAGTTGTAGCCGTGACACCTACCATGAAGCCAAGACTAGAATAATGCCTGCGTGGGAGACCACACACCAGACCACTACCCTGGCGCTTTTCCTCGGTTGTGATGTTCGATGCGATGTCGTATCATTCGCAGATCGCAGCTCAGTGAGGTGCGACGAGCGATCAGACGCGGACCCGTTCCGAGTGAGGAATTGCGCTTCTCGTAGTGCGACAAGCTACCGCTGCAGCGTCGCCTTCGTGAATGCGAATGGTGGCTCCAGTTCGATGAGTGCAACGGCTGGCGCTGAAGCGTGTTTGCTGCAGTCTGGACTGGCCGACAGGGCATGTGGCCCATGCAGACACGCCTCTGGCGCGCTATCATAACTGACTGGCCTGGAGACGGGAGTTCAAAGTGCATGCTGGTCGTGTCGCGGTCATGTGGAATCTAGGCCCGTGAGTTGTGGTGAAGCAGGTCGGCTAAGAGCACGGCGTTCAGGTCGACGCATGAAGGCAGACTCGGGAGTGTTGGTGCACTGAGACCCCCGAGTGTCAGCCAGCCTGCTTCATTTCAGCCCCACAACAAAAGACCCTGTGTATCAGGTATACACATGCTCTTCCTCGCACACACAACTTGATTTGGCGAGATGGAAAAGTAAGCACAATGCGCCACATCGTATGTAACCCTGGTTGGGGTCTGACAGGAGGTTGGGGACTGGCAGCTGGCGTGTGCGTTGGTGCAGAGCGGGATCACACGATATTTGCATGCACAATTCATTAGTGGGACAGCTGTGCATATGTCAGTACTTTCACTCGCCACGGCGTGTCAGGGCAGCACGATCCTTCTCACAGTGCACAAGCGACAGAGCGAGGTACGCTCCTCGTGCGGGGGTAGTCATCGTGTTCAGGCGATACTTCCTCCACTCAGTTGCCTCGCTGCCTCCTCGCCCTTGGAGGAGGGAGCCGAGAGTGTGTGCAGGGTCTGCATGTCTGTGATGTGCGCACTGGAGATGGCAGCGACCAGCATCTACTGATAATTGGCCTTTCAGGCGGTCATTCAGCGGAACGAAATCCAAAAGTTGATTTCCAATCCTGTTAGTTATGAAGCGCGCAGGCTTGAAAATCTTGTCCTAGCTCTCGAGATCATTGCACTCCACGGCGGCCATGCCCGGGGAACTCTGCCCGCTCGTCCTGTAAAGGCAATTTCTGAAATCGAGAGCGGCAGCCTCCAGTCGCACGGCCCCCCAACCTGGGGAGCTGGTCCAAAGGTGGAGACTCTACCCGATTAGGAAAGCATCATGACACCGAACAGAAGCTCATCATTCCTTCCTATTTGGGACGGGCTGAAGCAAGGCTTCCATATCTGCAACAGCACAGCTTCAAGTGAGATCTACTTCCAAGCGTATGCGCGGCGCGTGCAAGAGAATGCCGATACTCACAGTGTACGACATTGAGGACTACCGCATTGAGCGACATGACCAGAAGTGCGAGTGTGACAGAGGCGCTGCAAGAGCTTCTTATGGACTGGCAGGCAGCCGCGGAGGCTCTCTGTTTAGTGACCTACGGCGCCATCAGCGTCTTCTTCATGACATTGTAGGTACGAGTGGAGCTTTCAACCCTGGACAGGGGTGGATTGGGACGTCTACGGCAGCAGAGCGGGTTATTTTCGAGAGGTCTCGTGGTCACACCACAGCTGTGCTGCTGCGACCAGCCCGGGACTCTGCCAGTCGATGATAGCCTCCGCCACATCGTCGTGCGGACTGCTCGACGCCAGTTTGGTGTAGTTCTCCTACTGACGTACCAGCCGCAAGATTTGGCCGGCCGACCGAGGCGCAATGCTGATTGAGACATTGTCGTCGTCCAGGTATGTTTATGACAGGCATAATCAGCTGCATGTAAGAGGGCTCATAAGGTAAAAGACAACGGGCTAGCCTTCTCCTGGTACTGACCAGCTCGGTGCATTGAAATGTTCCTCTCCTCCCTGTCTAGTCTAAATTGTCTCCAACTCAGGTCGGGAACAGTGCTAAAAACGTGGACAATACGAATGCATGCCATATTGACCCTCCAGAAGCCATATTGGAGTTCCCGTCAGTGCATCCCACCAGCGCAAGTTGCGATCGCCACGTCGATCATGAAGGTTAATCATCCAGCGCATGCTCATTATCTACCAGTCCGGCCCGTCGCGCTTCGGTTCTCCATACGTCCGCCCCGAAGTGCTCGATAATATAATCTCTCGCACACTCTCGCGCGTCGGCATCGAGCGACTCCAATGGCACATCGCTAGCTGGCCAACTTGCTACCAGTCCCCGCTGCTGGCTGAGCTGCAGCTCTGAGACCGTGTGGAGTTCTGAGTAATCCTCTGAATCGTTTTCACTCTCAAATCTTTGGCTGGCCTCTTTAAAATACCACCCCCATTGCCCACCTAGATGTTCCGATACCCAGCGCTGCAGCTCTTCCCAAGTCTCATCGATGAAAAAGGACCGCAAAGCGAGCGGAATGTCATCCCATTCGACAGTAATGATGATGAATCCGCGATCTTGGCGAAAAGATAAGTCCCGGACCGGATAGTAAAGTCCTTCAGGCAGGGCAACTCGGTACTTGAAAGGCTTTGGCGGGATCTCAAGCGGACGAGCTTCGGCGTCGGGCTGGACGAGCTCAGGCCGTTGTGTGCCGTCCTCTTCGGCGTAAGTACTGGGGATATTCATCAAGCGCGCTCGCTTCTGGGGTCGGCTAGTGCTCGACGTGTCTATGCCAGGGTGGCCTCGACATCCCGGCTTTAGTGTTTGCTGCGGCTGAAGCCCGAGAGGCCCCCTCATTGGCCGCAAACGGGACTGCTCAAGCCGTGCGTGATCGCGCTCTTCTTCGGTGGATGCCATTGTTGAGGTAATCGGCTTCTGTGTCAACATGGATGGAGGATTGAGGGGCGGACTGAAATGTCGATAATTGCCTGACACTTCGTCGGACCATAGCGCCGCCTTGCTGCGTTGCGCCACTGGAGTACCTGGCCTCGACGACCCTTCCACTTTTCCATAGCAAGGATATACATCTGTGTACCTCTGCAGCATCGGTGGACGTGGGTGGCTGTTAACAGTTCGACGCCGGTTGCGGGAGGTTTGAGCCGTCATAATACCTGCTGCCATTTGAGTACAGGCCCTCCGTTTAAGGACATCGTGCTGCGGGCCATCGTGAACATACCGGTCATAGTGAAAGCGGTTCGCTCGGACTTGACCTTCGGAGCAGCTTGGTGTCCGTCGTGTTTGGTCGGTCAGGGAGTGCTTTGGGCTCGATTCCATTGTCCTGTGTAGGGTAATCGAGGAGGGAAGAGCCGTCTGATTAAGTACGATGCTGAGCTAGAGTTATGCTCCATAAGTCACTCTTCTTGCCTGACTGGCAGCTTGAAAGCGAACTGGGCGAAGCTCATCCCTGCCCGCGGTGTTGGTCGTCACTCATTCCTCCAGGCTGGAAGAGCCACTTTTGGAGCCGGTGCAACTCTTACAGCCTGTCCAATGACAAGGGTACTGGGGCACCAGGACTTCCTTCATTGAGGTATCCCAGTGGACTGCAATTACTAATGACTAAGCGACAGCGAAACTGGGGAGACTTTTACCGGGCTTTCTCGTTCCCCGTCAGTCTGCTAAAGACAGCTCTCACTTTGGTGGCATGAGTCGTAAGAGGCACCTTCAAGGTTCAGTCAAGAGCACAAGTCATTTCCGCTTGAGCAAGTGTTTTGTCTCTAATGAAACTCAGAGCACACAAGGGACTATTGTGTGCCATGAGAACGATGCACTGCGCGGTGGAACAAGGCTTATTATATCACCGGAAGCTTTCTAATATAAATGAAGAAAATCAAACAGACCAGTATGAGATGACGGCTTGTTTGTGTCTCAGTACGACCACCGCTCCACAGAGCAAATCAACATATCCAAGACCAGAGATAAAGCGGGGAGTGATGAGGAAATCTGCGGTCGAAAGGCGACACGAGGACATCAGGGCCATGAGGAAAGCCAGGTCTTGACACTGCGATCAGCAAGAAATGCTTGACTTGTCTTAAGGAGGCGACTCCTTGCCAGTACCATAGTCGATGTTCTTGAAACCCTGACCGGTGAACGTGACTGGAACACCAAGCTGATGCTGGCAAGACGGCTGGTTACTAACGGTGGGCGGAGGAAGAGTGCACAGCTCATCGTAGCCCCACTTGCAAGCTGGGTCGAGGATGTCATACAAGGCATAGTTATTTGCTACCCAGGTGTTGCTAGTACAGCTGGCGACGTAGTTCATAGCGTTTGCCGCCGTCAGAGGTAGCTTGCCGCCGGCGACGGACAAGAGATCAGCACACTGGGACATAGGGACATCCTCCCAGGTCGCACTGACGCCGCCGCCGTAGACCGGATTCTGCTTCGCACCCTGCCCGGTAACGAGGTAGTTCCACGCGTCATAGGAGATATCATAGGCGCCGCCAGACTGGCCGACCTTCAATAGGGTCACTGAACGGCCATTAGCGGTCACCCTAACGCAGAGGTTATCGCAAGACACGGACGACGGCCAGTAAGCGACGCGGTTAGTATTGATCTTGCAGCCAAGGACGCCGACCGAGGAAGAGTAGCGGTCGTGGGGAGTGACTGAGATCGAGCCGCCACGACGAGCGAGCTCGGGCATGGTGTGGGCGGAGACAGCAGAGGCGGCGCCGAGAAGTGAAACATGGCTGAGCTGCATCTTGATCGTGGATAGCAGGTAAAGGGGGTATATTTAGTGAAATAAAAGGAGTGTGATGTCGTCGAGACAAGGTGATTTCTACAAAGGAGTGTTTGTCAACAAGTCAGGTCTCACGGCTCGCACTGTTGGTCAGGGAGTGACTGAAGAGCCTGGAAGGAGGAATGAGCCTGTGTCTAAATAAGACCAGTGAGTGACCTCTGTTGTGTCAGAAGTCTCGCCAGCTGTAACTATCGATAGCAAGCGGAGATGGCTGGATGCCAACCACTAGTGACGAGCAAAATGGCAAGTATCGCTGCCTGGACCAGCAGTAGGGCCACTAGCACAAATCGCTTGGAACTCCGCGAGGTGAAGACCCCTCCGGCCCAATACGCGCCCGAGGAAGAGTGCATACCAGTCTGACTAATGATGCACTCCGGGACCACAGCCACTTCTGGATCTTTGGGTCAGGCACAGTTGTCCGACTGCTTAGTCATATGAGACATTCGCGCCGTCCATCATGCGCCCTCCTCATTTTGTACTAGATTGCGTACGGGGCCAGATGCCTTAATGGATGAATGTAAGTGAGCCTACCTCGACAGCGCAATGATTGGCTCGGAAGGGACCGGGTTGTACCCGCGCGCGTAGGCAGACCAGCTGAAGGAGTTGGAGTCAAGTGGGGACGCACGCGTCAGGCTCGAGTAATATATATTCTGTTGTTCTCACACCTCATCACGAACGAAACTTCTACGCTATTCATCATTTGCGAACTTTTATTCCCCATCTCACCGCCTCAGTTCAAATACGCCATGCCATCGGAAAAGGACCGCCTGTATGTAGCGTTATACGCTCGCGGTGGTAACCCAACTATGCCGGGGCTTGAAGACAAGTTAGTCCTACCTCACTTTGTGCCGGCGAGCCTTATCTGACGGTGAATAGGTATCATTGGGCCTTGATAGTCGGTCCGAAGTTGGAATCAAGTACCAGCCAAGGGTATCGCTTCCATGCCAAGGAAAAATTGTCGTTCACTGGCAATCCACCTGAGGCCAGATGGGAGTGGCATTACGAGGAAGTGACAACCTCCATGACAGCAACCTCAATGCTACTTGTCCGTATCATGGTCGGCAAGGTCAAAAGTACAAGTCTGCTACGGTCGATATTCCAGCAAATACCCGTTAGACCGGAGGTCGAAGGATGGAATTGCGTCGGGTGGGTAAGGGAAGCATTGCTTACTGCTACGCAGGATAGCAGGGCATTGAGTAAGGCCGCCGGCACTTGGGACTTAGTGAGAGACACGGCAATGTGGTATGTTGAAAGCAAGAAGACCGCCAATCGCTTTGATGGGACCTACGACTACGACCCAACTCAAGTAGCAACGTGGGATATGCTGTCAGCGAAGGAGCTTATGCAATAATTACGGGTTTGAGATCTTGCTTAATCTAGATAGCACCGAAATGCTTCCGTCTGATCCTTTCCATCTCCAGTTCATGCGGCATGGGTTCCAAGAACTTGTCTACCTCTGATGCCCAGAACTCATTCGTGGGGTTGACGTACTTCGCAGAGGTGTACTCCCAGTATGTGGGTAACCACCCTGCAGTCTCCCAGTCCACAATACCCACCACATTGTCCCCTTCGACCATAATGTTCAGGCTGCTCAGGTCACCATGAGTCAGCACAAGCTGATCACCTGATCGGCGATAGAAATCGAAGAGCTTGTGCACATCATGGGGCAGAGCCGCATATTCGCGATCCAAGTCTGCGCCGTTGGCAAGTGCCTCGTGGAATTCCCGTATTGTGCGGAAGGGTCCCCAGAGCGGCTGGGAAGGTAAGCGAGCATCGTACAACGCACCTCCGCCCACGCCACCGACACTTGTCCCTGCAGGCGGCTCCACAGAGCGAAGTTCGGCGAGCATAAGACGGAGCTGGGCGAGTATCATGGCTTTTGATTGCTCAGTGCGGGTTTGCCAGCCACTCCAAGCCATCCTCCCACGCAGCTTGCTCATAACAAGGTAGCTATTCCCTTTGTGGACGAATGCGCAATATACCTTCGGCACAGGAATGGATGTGTGCTGAGCCACAAATCGCATGGCATTGGCTTCGGCTAGAGTCGCGACCGGCTTCACCTTGATGCACATATCGAAGAAGCACACCGGCCCAGAGTGCTTTTTCCATAGACGATGAAGGACTTTGCTGGTTCTTGCAGCAATCAAGAGGACGATGAGACGGCGTGTGACAAGGCCAGCACCGATGGCTTCCGCGTTTGACGACATGGTGTGGGATTGATGGTTCATCGACTGAGCCTGTGGCAGGAATTGTAAGCCCAAATGTCTATTTGACCTAGAACAACGACTGACTCTCGCGTGTATGTGTGTCTCGTACCTGCTCAGCCAAGTTAGGGTCGTCTTGGCGCGAGATGTTATGGTGGTTCAGCGAACTGACGGCTCCAGCAGGGCTTCCGCGATGCTGAGTGCGAGGCCCCTTATGCGAAGCGAAGCTCCCGGAGATGAGAACGAGCAGTTGAACCTGAGACTAGTATCCTTTTTTCTGTCAAGACAGGTTGGTGTCAGACCGGATGTGATTCGCGCAAGACCTTGTCCCAGTCGCGAGAGAGACGCGAAGTTGAAGGGGCGAAAGCGGGGCACGTGACTAAGCAAATTTCATGGTGCGGCCGCTCCCCGTTGACACCGCGACGACTCGCTTCTCAGCTCGCGCCGCAGCTCGCATATCGCCGGCTCTGTTCTCACCGCTCTGCTATATTCCATTCGACGCCCTCAGCATCACCTCCTGGCGGCATGATAAACAGGGCGTCGAGAGCGAGAGCTGGAGAGCTTGAATCTATGCTCATGCGGACAGGTGAAACCTTCTAGGTACTCTAGCAGGCTGATGGCCAACGTCAAGTTGGATGGACGCCGCTGAGAGCTGCTCATTTCCTCTTGCTCAGCAATTTCAGTCTCGTGGGAACCTCCTCGCGTGTCGATCATGTCAGCTTCACACTCGAACAACTCAAAAGAGCTCTGCAGCGAAGGTCAACCAGAAGTGTGTAAATATATCCCTGTCTACCCATCGCAAGATTACTCCAGCATCGCCGAGCTAGAGAATTGCTACACATCCTATGAGGGCACGAATAGAAGAGATGGTTACGATTCCGTTGGTGGTCTACAGGCTTTAAGAGTAAAGGAAATCACGATTGTCCTTCCGCCAACCACATGCATCCTACGCACTCGCATTATCCAGTCCAGCACGTCGTAACTCGGATCTCCATACCTCGTCTCCAAACTTGTTGATGATCTGCCGCCTCGCAGAGTCGAGCGCCACCTCATCAAGCAATGACAACTGAACATCACTGTCTGGCCAACTTGCGACAAGTATCAGCTGATCGTCCTGCATGCTGAGCTCCAGCTCTGAGACCATATGGTATTCGAATGAGGATGGATCTTCGGACCCAGGCAGCTGATTCTCGCCATCCGTGTCCATCCAAGTAGGTCCGAACTTCTGCAATAGACGGTTGTTGAGCTCTTCCCACGCACCCTTAACGTGGAAATTGTCGACTGAAAGTCTAGTCTTTTCCCAGCTGATGGTGATGATCACGCTGCTTGTCTCGGAGTCCTGCCGACAATCAAGTTTTCGGACCGGATAACTCTGCTCGGGAGAAAACCTGACGTTGAAGGGGAAAGGCTCCGATAGTGCTTTGCTACTGCCTCGCAGACGCTTGACACTTGTAGTTGCACATGTTCCAGTGGCGCGGCCCGAGTCAATCGTCGAGCGTGCCGGCATTTGCCTATCGTCAGGTCCTGGGACTTTCAGAGTGGGAGTGGTGACGTGCCGCAGGGGACCTGCTGTACATCGCTTTCGTGTAGAGGCGCTCTCCGACAGCTGCGCTAACGAGTGGCTTAACTGCGAGCAGCTGTCTTCCTCTGCGATGGAGGACAGGGCCGAGGTGTTTAGACCACCCAGTGGCGCAGCGAATGGTGGATAGGCAGCTTCCTGGCTGCTCGAAGGCGCCACTGTCTCGTGTTGTATTTCAGCGTGCCTGACTCTCAATGGCCCGTTCGTGCCTTCATAGAGATGATCGCAACCTTCCCGCTTCAATACGGTAGGCTCTCTGCCAAGACACGGACGGGGCTGGTGGGTCGCGCTGACATTTTCAGTTGACAGTACACCAGGCCCCAAATGGAGGAAACTAGGTTCCCGCTGTAAGGTCCCCATCCTGGCCATAGTGCCTTGCGTGAGCTGCATCTTGAGAGCAGCTCGATGTCTGTCGTGCCTAGATAACCAGAGGGTATGATGGACGTGGTTTAGGTGTCCCAGGCAGGGTGGTTAAGAATGGTGGCATGGATTTGTTGAAGAGCTGGTGGCAGAGAAGGGGTCTTCATGAAGCCCAAGGAAAGCGCCGATCTCGTGGTCCATCGACGCTGCGGGCTGTATCATACTGTACTGTGTACGTCTGCAAGTAAATGCATTACGCCATCAGCCATATCTGCCATACGACCGCGACCCGAGACCTCGCGTGGCTCGATGAGCCGCTTTTGGAGCTGGTTGATCAATCCCTGTTGGTCACTCAACCATCCGGCCGTCTAGACTCCTTCGGTGAAGGTTGCTGGATGGATGCATGGATGCACCCTTGCTCCCTCCTGGCAAGCATGGTTCAAGGCGGGGCTGGTCGCGCAGCAGCCAAAAATGGAGTGCCCCACACTTATCGGGGGGTTTGTACTTCAAAGGTCCTGGTGATATACAGTACAGTAGTGACCGCAAATCAGTGTCCACAAACAGCTTAATTGAGATGATTCCCGCACGGGCCACATCACCCAATTGTGGCTTAGAACTGTGCGAAAACAGGTTCGGCACTATGTCTCGTCCGAATCAAATATACCTGCCGTCCATTTCTGGCTTGTCTGACCAAAACACAATTTATTCAGCTACATATGCGTAAGCGACTGAGCCATCCAAATGAAGCCCAGACGCCACGCATAGCTAGCCTATAAATCTGCATAGCGGTCAGGTTGCGATCTCGACCTCGTTTCATACCAAAGTCGTGGCGCCATATTCGTCGTTGTTGAAACGAACAGTGTGACGCTGAGGCGAAGTTGTAGGCTGCCACCTTCCACAAAAAGGTCAATGCTGACTCATCATTCGTGGCCGGAGCTGCGTTGGGTGGTTGGGCGATCAGCCGCAGCGCGGGTGCAGTAATGCCTAGAGCTAGATGCTTGTCCATGGCTGGGGTTTGCTCCCTGATAGTGGGGTGCTCCTTGGATTTACCCCGCACCGAGGTGTTTTCGTGCCCGCTTGTGATCAGAAGCTTTCCGTTTGATCCACTACATATCCACAGCCAACCGACCAGTCCATTACAGTACCCGCCAGACGTCTTCTCCTGGTCGCTTTTCATGCCAAACGTCAGGAGCCCCGTAAAGTCCTCGTACTGCACAAACGTGGTGCCGCGACCATTGGCCGACGATTCGTGATGGCCACTACAGCAGATGGGGTGACGAAGAAACAGCCCCAACTGCTGCATGTCATGCCGTAATCCACTTTTGGAGGGTACTCGATTTATGGCTTAGTGCGCCTGAGCTGAACCAGCCACCGTCATTGCACACACAAGCTTCCTCCCGCCCGTGCGGCTGAAAAAGCTCGTCTCCTACCTCCGGCTATGCTTGATGCTGATTGGATGTCCGACATCCAAATGCTAGGGATGGTGCTCCCGAAGGGCCGGATCGCGCGGCAGAAAACGCCACGGCGTTGCGCTAGATCAAAGTCTTGGTCGTTGACAGGGCTGAGTATGCCTGGCGGCTTTGAGGGCTCGGACAAAAGTGGCAGTTGTATAACTTACTTCCCCTGGTCCCCGCCATCTCCAGAACTTTCAGCTCTCATTCTTCTCGTCTTGTCCCTCGCTTTCATCTCATCTCTGGTTTTTGCCGCGAGCTCCGCATTTACATGGGCATCCTTTAGGGTGGCGAACTTCACATGTTAAACGCCACCTATATAGAGTTCAGGTGGCGCAATTCTAGGAGCAACTCTGCGTCTAATACAGTACACTGACAATGTGCTGGAAACCCCTCCCTTCACCGAGCCTAGTTCTGTCAGCCTCTTTGCACGTGATTCTTATTCCGAGGGGTCGCAGCAAAAAGGCCGGTATAAATGCTATCCCCACCACCACAGTAGTGGTTGTAGGGATCTCAGACCACTCGAAAGCGCTGATCTTTGCCGTATTGTAGCAAGCCTAATGGCTGAGCTAGTCGGTACATTGAAGACAGGGGCGTCACAGGGGGTCCAGCGGTTGAAGACGCTCTGGCTCCATATTGGCACTCAAATTTGGTACTAGAACGGGATAAGGGCGTCGAAAAAATAGTCCTTGGCATGATTTGCCCCCTGCCGCAGCAGTGGCCAACTGCCAGCGGTGGGGAGCCGATCAGGCTCTAAGGCGAGCTTGGTTGAACGATTGAGGGCTCGTGAGGACCAAAATCAGGGGCAGGTCCAGTTGGCTAACAACTTTGGCTGTGGCTGGGATGCACTACTAGTGGGGAAATCAGGGGTCTGGAGATGGCTTCAGTTGGCGGGCGTCTGTGTGGCGCTAGGCCGAATCGGCTTACCTCTTTTTCTTGGTGGCGACTTAATATTCTGTCTGATATTATAACAGCGGCGACGGTGCAAAGCATTAATCTGTTCTGATAAACGTCTACGTCCCATTTCGGAGCTGATCATCATTCGGAACTCTTCAGTTTAACGCCATGGCATCAAATGCAACCGCCGTAAAACCACAGTACTTCGAAACGATATGGGCCGTCTTCAGCACCATCGGGCTTAACAACGTACTTGTCGGTCTTATGATCGCTGGAATCAGGGGCAGGTTCTCAGCCGTTATCCTAGTACCGATCGTTACCTCGGCTGCGTGTGCTATTTCCAATGGTTTATATTACTACGTTTCTTTTTCCGACGCCCCGGCCGTTAACAGGGCGGTCGCTTATGCGTTCTCGGATTTCGCGTGGTTGGTGAGCGAGACGTTTCTGGGCCTCCCATCCGTCCCCCGACGCTCAATGTCCCCGTCTCCGTTCCCGGCTTGCTATGTTACATGCGACTAACGCGATGGCCACCTCGGCCTGCTCCGACAGGTTCAAGAAGGTGGACTCCCATTCTACGGCTATGCGATCCTGGCCCCTATCCTCCACGGCGGCGAGCACGCAATCTACCTAACGCTCTTCTGGGGGTGTATACTCGTCACCGTGGTTGTCCGCGTTGCAATAGCCGTGGTCGACGTGCTCTTCACACTCGCCGACGACCCTTCGCCAACCCGCCTGGCCATACATTTGACCATGGTCAACCGTCTGCACTTGGGCTACTTCATACCCATCGCGATGGCCGAAACCGTAAACGCCGTATTCTTGCTGAAAAGGCTCCGCACGACCCTCCGGTCGTCGATATCGGGCGGACTAAAGGGCGGCAAGCTATACCGCTACCTCATACGCAGCGCCGAAATACGCCTCGCTTCGCTGGCGCTCATCGGCATCCCGCGCTCAATAACATTCTTTTTCCACGTGGTGTCGGGCCCTCTAAACCCAGTCAGTCAGATTGACCTGTTTATTTACACTCTGGGGTGTTTGTTCCCAATCATCCTGTTGTACGCTTGTCCTCTAATCTCGACATCGCAACGTTAATAAATGGTTAAGCCTGCTAACCGAGACATTATACAACAGCGTCGACATCCTCGCCTCGCGTCTGGTCTTCGCCGAGGAGAGCGGTGCGAAAAGCAGCAACATCGATAGCGTCGTGCTAGTAGACCATGCTATCGGTAAGCTGCACCCTTCGGCGTCGCAGACGGCCGCAGGCGAACGCCACGACATCGGCCTGTTCGCCATGTCGCACATCGAACGCGATGTCGGTGTGTCTGGTGCAAACAGTCCAACGCCGTCACGGAGACCGAAGTCGCTACCAACTATACAGGGGGGCGTGGCATACGAGCGGCTAGATCACCAAATGGATTAAGGTCGAGGTACATGAGGGCGGGTCGATGATTATCATGATCCCGCCGAAAAAAAACCCAAACGTCAAAAAATCACGTGCTGTCGCACATGACTCTCACTCACTATTTTGGGCAGCTGACTGCGCGTCACACTCGGGCTATGTCACGTGATATACCGCTTCATCTAACCGCTTACAGGAGGCACAAACCGCAAACGGTTTGCCCAGAAGAGCATTGAGGAACGAAACTGGACGTGAGGATGTTCAAAGTATCGGACTATTCATGTCGAGATATATAATCTAAGTTGGGGCTGGGAGGCGCTGAACGAAGAAGACCTTGGCGAATTCTTCAGCTACTTCCACTACTCTAAGAGCGCCGAGAGCATGAAAGGCGGCTCATGCCACCCTTGATAGTATCAGGGCTGCGGCGTTTCCAGTACTGGTGGTCACCCTGCTTTCTTGCTCGCTAGGACAGGATTTTGATGCAGCAAAAGATGTTAAGGACGTGAAATTATCTCGACGCTTGTGTGGGGGGTTTGTGTCAAGGCCAAACAGGTTGGAAGTTCCGGGCAAGAGGAGCCACTGCGCCCCCAATCCAAATCGGGGACAGGATCCAACAAAGCAAGTAAGTTACTTGAGAAGCTAGAACCCTCTTGAAAATGTCTCGCCGCCTCCTCCTCGACACCCGGGTTTGTGCTGGATCTGCGAAGTGTTGGTCTTCGCTCGGGGACGTCCCATCTTCAACCGCGCTATGAGTAAGCTCAAGAGTGTGTCGCGCAGACTGAACAGCCAGGTTCGATGGTAACTTCCTTGATATGGGACAGTCTGCACAGTGTGCGCCACAATAGGCCACAGTCTTATGGTCCGTGCGGGAACATCAACTAAAGTCGAAAAGCGGACACAGTTCGCGGTCACTACTGTAGGACCCGAGTACGTGTATCTCTCTTCTTATTCTTACCCAGGAAGAAATCAACGGAGCACTTTATCCATTATGTAACACACCGGAAGAGTGGCGCCCTCACACTCCTCATACTGGTTGTGTTTTGTGCAGGGCATATTCTGGACACGATCCGATTCGCAAACTAGGGCAGGAGCGTACCATAGTAGTCACCGATAACGAGTGCAGCCCCAGATTTGCACTTTCAGGCGTGGCTTTCAGTTTACTAAACCATGATTAGAAAGGTGGTTAATGCGTCTAAAAGGAGGTGTGGTGTGTAGCTCGAGGTCTAGCGTGACCAAGTGTGAAAACCTTGATGCCCAAAATCCGCAGCAACCGTGCTGACGGATTTTTGGTTGTCCAATCCTTGAACATCCAACTTCTTTGGTTGACCGAATTCGAAGACTGCAAGGCATATCGTTCTCTCTGGTAGCCCAGGGTCTCCTTCTCACATCGAATAGGTCCGCGGGACCTTGCCAAGGCTAAGGACAGCTGAATACGGTGGCTTCATTGAAGATGACGACAAAACTGGACCCGCGGGCCCCCTATTCATCAATCAATTCTTGCTATCAACCGATCTGGTTGCAGTTTCAGTGCATCGCCACAAGTATATTGACAGCTCCCTTGCGGCACTCTCGAATCAACTTTCAGAATACCTATTGCGTCACTTCTAGCCAAGTTATGAGATGACGGGGATTGAGCACGATACGCCGACGCGGGCCACCGGTCGCGCCGTTTTACAGTACCTCACATGGACTGGCTGCCTCCCTGACGGCAACCACCAAAACGACCGCAGATGCAACCATCCCGAACACACCAAGGAGGCCGTTTTCAAGGCTTTTGGTGTTTCTCGTGCTCGTGCTTATGCATGGTCTCAAAGAAACGCCGCTTCAGGAGACCTGGGCGCCAAGAGACGCGTCGCCGTCGCGCGACAAGCCAGCCAAGAAGACGCTGTACCGACTAGGCTTCGTGGCGCAGTATCAATAACCCCCATATCCAGGAACGACGAGGGCGCCCTGTAGGCTTCACTCTAGAGGACAGAGAAGAGCTTCATGAATGGCTAATCAGCCTACCAGAGGAGGACAAATACCAGGGATTGCGACTCCCTTGGCCAACGGCAGTCGCAGAAGCAGGTATCGACACCCACGTCCAAGAACGCACGATCTGACAGCGCATGGCAGAGGTCCAGTACCATACCCGAGCCTCGACGGTCAAGGATGGTCTAAGCGACGCCGCTAAGAAGCGGAGGGCTACCATATGCGAAGGAACAACTTCTCGAAGGAGGCTGGAATAGTCCACAATGGCCCAGTACCTGCTCTTAAAAGAAGGTCAATAGCGACCTCAATGGGATGGAGGAGCGATTCAGGCAGGTGATTGCTGCAAATGGCGACAGAACGAAGTACTAGACTATTGGTTGGCGCTCGAAGAGCCTCCGCTTTTGTATGGCTTTTGTATGGCCAATTGAAAATATCGTTAGCAGACATCGGAAAAGAAGCCCACTACATTCTGTGGAGTACTCCATTTTGCCCTACCCGCTCGCTAAAGGCGGTGCAGCTTTTAGGAGCGAAACCAACTACTTTACCCACGAACGAGGTACCTACATGGGAATTTACGCCTTCACACTAGCCAGTAGCAACTACTTCACACCAGTCATCTGCGGTTTGATTGCAGAGTATCACGGTTGGCAGTGGGTTTTCTATTGGCCAGCGTTATTCCTTGCGTTTGTCTTCATACTGCTGCTCTTTCTCATGGAGGAAACCAACTACACCCGCACGTGCCCGTCCCACAAACCGGCATCCACGACGTCCCCTTCCGCAGCCTCGGGAGCCGGGTCAAGTGTATAGGAGAAGAGTCTGTCAGCAGCTGCGACATCGCCAGCTGTATCAGAACCCGGGGAAACATACCCGGCGATCAAGACTTACATGCAAAAGCTGTCCATTTGGCAGCCGTCTCCAGGCCAGGGAATGCTTAGCCGTGCGTTACGGTCCGTCAGATTTCTGTCGTGGCCCATTATCTTCTATGCTGGGTTTTCCTACGGGACATACCTGATCTCGTTCAACGTCTTGAACGCCACGGCATCAATGATCCTTTCCGGTGAGCCATATAACTTTCCCCCTTCCCTGGTCGGGATCAGCTATTTCTCCTGCTGCGTTGGGGTCATCGTGGGCGCGATCCTTTCTGGGCTCTTGAGTGACTGGTTAACAATCAAGCTTGCTTGCTTGAACAACGGCGTCATGGAAGCGGAGCACAGATTGTGGCCCTTCACCATATGCATGATACTGATGCCCGGCGGGCTTGTTCTTTGGGGTGTCGGAGCGGCCCATGGGATTCATTGGTTTGGTCTGATCGTGGCGATGGGCTGCCTCGCCATGGCGATTACAATAGGTCTCACGATCTCTGTCAATTACCTCATCGACAGCTATCCCGAGATCAGCGGTGACACGATCGTTACGGTCATTATTATCCGCAACACCATATCGTTCGCGATCAGCTATGGGTACGCGATATCTCTTCAGCCCCAGAAAATGTTAGAGTCAACTAACACTGTTAACAGAATCACACCATGGCTATACCAGCTTGGCTACCAGACTTACTTCATTTCTGCGGCATTTATCGGCCTGCCTGTCACGTCTATTTATCTGGTCGTCATCCATTTTGGCAAAAGACTTCGGGCACAAAGCGCAACCAAGTATTTCGAGCTTATGCGATAGTGTTGCAGTTCGGCGGCTCGGTAAGGTTTGATGTCTTGTCTTCGCCCTTGACGGGCTTCGCCACGGCGATCAAGTAGTCAACTCGCAGGGGCAAGAAAAAGCAAGTCAGGCTCCTCAAGGCGGAGGACGTACTCAGTCACGGCGAAGAAGGACCAAGACAGGCCCGAGGCACACACGGAGAGAGACACCGGGACGGAGTTGATGTTTTGAAGTAAGCACGGAAGGTGCGGCTGGTAAGTGCACTGTTGTCATGGCGTTCGTTGCCTTTTAAACACGGCTACAGCTAACGTTATCTCTTATCCCACGTTGAATCGAGGGACCAATAAGATGCGGGGCCCCGATAAGGCTCGCACATGCAGATAAGCAGGTCCTACGTCAGGCGCCATGCACCACCGCCACTCGACTGGCGCCATCCTTTCACTTCCAATGCTTCCGCTGCCACAGATGCTTCACGGAGTTGACATCCATACACCATAGAACTCCCACAAATATGTCACACACTCCACGCCCGGCTCTATAACGTGCTGTTTGCCATACCTGACAGCCCGCGAATGCAACCTATGTGCCTCGCCGCTGGCGCAGGCTGTGAGGCTGTGATCGGTGGTTCGTTTCGCCGAGCGAGAATGCCCTCAGTCAATGAGCTAGGGGTGAGGAGAGGAGGAGGGCTTCCCACCAGCCACCTTTTGTTAACAGCCGCCGATCAAAGACCAATTTTAGCCGGGGATTCTCCCGCACATCCTTCAATCAACACTTCACAATACCAACAAGCGAGTCCAGTCCAATCACCACGAGAATACCTGTGACTCGCGGCCGCCTTTGCTACCAGCGAACATTGCCTTAGTGTCGAGGACACCAAGTGGCAATGGCGACATCCCGCCCAAAGATGAACCTCCTCTCCCTTCCAGCCGAGGTATGTCCTGCTTCATATTCTCCAGTGCCAGCTATGAGCGGAGTTGACCGTTTGTATGCGCACAATGCTAGATCCGGTTGATCATAGGCGAGGATGTGCTCGAGGCCCCAAGGGAGATTCAGCTTTCGCAAACTGGCGGAAGGACATCCAACACGTGGGAAGCTGCGACTGGGGAGCACTACGACCTTGACACTCAGAGGATCACCGACATCCACAACATAAAGTTTCTCGGCAACGTGCTGACAGCCGGCGGTCCGATCAGCATGCTGCGACACTGCTTCAGCAGCTTCGACGATCTCTATCTATTCTTGTCAGCACACAGACCAGCAGCACTCACGCAAATCCGCTACCTGGTTGTCCACTGGTCATGGCTTCCACCAGTTGGGGAGATGCAGGCAATGCTGGCGGGTACAGGACCAGCACCCGATCCTCGAGCTGTCGGAGTTGCAATCAACGGACGGGGCCAACATGACCATATCCTGGCGCTGCTGTCGCACGCGTCGCGGCTGGAGCGCTTTGCACTACGGATCGACATGACCAACCACTACGACTCAAATGGCGCGTTCGATCAACATATGACCGAGACAATGCTGTCAGGAGCATTAACGTCGATCGAGAACATCCTCTTACACACACCCGACGAAGTTGACGGCGCCAACATGTCCACTGTGACACGGTTGATCAACCTCCCGGGATTCTGTCTCGAGCTCCGCATGTGCACCTATGACGATTCTACCATGAATCTGGTCGAACACCAGATTGTCGACTTGGCTACACTCAAGGATGGCCTGCCCATCAACTTTGGTGCCAACCTGCCATCGTACGCGTTCTGGACCAGCGCGAACACTCGCAACCGTGTCAAAGAGCTCAGCATCAAGATCCATCGCCGCCAGCTGCACCATGCCAGACTTGCCAGGCCTCCTCTTCCCACCGTCCCTTGCACTATACGTATGAAGGCTGCCTATGACGCCAGCGGTCTCACTGTTAGTGGTCTTTATAAGGATGTCCAATGGCTAGACCGACTAGACCAGCCACCGAGTTCTCGAACCAGGCGGAGCAAGCTCACGAGCCACAATACCATCGCCAGACGCGCAGCACGGCTTGTGGACCCAGCCGACGGGCTAATCAAGCAGTCCATCAAAGTACGAGCGATTTACCTGTCCGGTGAGCGCATCATGGCTGCAGTCCGCTGCTGGGGTGGCAATGATGACCAGCACGTTCCGCTGTCTGCGCTTATGGGCGACGACGGTCTCGATGCGTTGAGCCACTTCCTCACCGCACCAGCCGCCGATCTCCGAGTCATATTCACTGCCGTCGGCCCTCTGAAACTCCTAGAGGAGCTTGGCGGCTGCCCCTGTCGACGAAGCAGAGCACTAAAGCAGGTACAGTGCATCTTGAAGAAGGCCGCTGCACCTTAGTGATGCAGGCCAGGCCAATCATTCGTGGACTGCAAGGATTTGATGAACGACCGGCACTGGTCTCCAACTGGCGTTCTCGGTTGCAAGATTAATACGAACCCTGGGGATCGTCGTGTTCTCATGTCAAGTCTGTTTGTCCATGTATCTATATGTCTGTATGGTGTTGTTCTTGATCTGGGAATGTTATCAGAACCTTAAGTGGGATTACGTAGGCCGTAATTACGTACAGTCGAGTTCGAAATCGGTGTCCACTTTCGTGTGACGCAACTCTCTCTGCGCACGGTCCGCCTTGTCTTGGCGATGCCAAAGGTAGGTGGGGCAGCTTGGGACAGCCATTTCAGGCTGCATGTCGGATGGTCCCAATCTTCACTTATTGCATATACAGGATATGTCTGAAGAGGAACCCTTACAAGGACCCGCATGCTCACAATCGTACGCCTTATTGTTCTACCCCGCCGGTCCTGTGTTTAGGCGAGACGTCGCACGCTCAAGTCCCACCCTTCGCCTTAATCCCAGAACTGAGAATTCCTCCATCATGCTCAACGCGGGGACAAACCACGATAATACTGTATGTTTACCTGCGCATTTGCACATCGACACGGTGTCCTGGCCAGCTGTTGTTTGCTTCGTGGTGCGCAATGTGAGCCTGATGGAGCATCCGGGCATGCCGTCACTCAATGCCTGCTTGGATTCGTTGCAAGGAGGGTCCCACGACCCCGCATCCTTGGGAGCACGCATCACTCATGGGGCCTCACCAAGGTCCAGCTATCTATGTTTCGTAAGGTCTCGATGAATCGCCCAATTTCCTCCATGTTTAATTTCCGATATCCACGACTATTCTGTACATAACAAGTAGGCTAGCTATCCGCTCGGTTTTGCAAGCGTATGAACAGAGCCAATCGACCGTACCATAGAATATACGTATAAGCGCCGGGGTCTTGGCCCCCAAGCCTTTCCAGCGAGAGCCTGATCAAACCTCTCCGGGAACAGCCCACACCAATCATGCACGACAACGAGCGCAGGCGCCGCGACAAGGGGGAACAGGCTGCACGCCGCCGTTGCCTGGTTTCATCCGCCAACAATTTCTTTTCTCCCCATGAGACTCTCATGGCCGCACTCTTCACCAGGCGAGGAAGGCCTGTATCCGTCGCTGGCTCCGTCTTGCCCAAACCCGATAACAACTTCTTCGCTACCCCTGAACGCCAATACTCGCTCCCACAGGCCCCCGCACGATGTCAGCCCCCCGGGCCCTCGATAGTCCTGACGCGTACACGATCGGCTGGATCGCTGCCCTGCCAATCGAAAGGGCCGCCGCAGAGGCTATGCTCGACGAAGACCACGCGCCTCCAACCAGCTTTGTTCGACATCAAAGCGATACGAACGTTTACACATGGGGTCGACTGGGAGAGCACAACATAGTCATTGCCTCACTTGCAGCCGGGGTATATGGCACCACATCAGCGGCGACGACTGCGTCGCGCCTCCTTGCCTCTCTGCCGTCCATCCGTATTGGCCTCATGGTCGGCATAGGCGGCGGCATCGCTCGCCCGGATGAGGATCAAGATATCCGATTGGGCGACGTCGTGGTGAGCCAGCCGGATGGGACGACAGGCGGGGTCTGCCAGTACGACTTGATCAAAGCAAAGGCTGGCGGTAAGCGCGAGCGCAAAGGATTCCTCAGACCGCCGCCGACAGTGTTGCTCAACGCGCTGGCCAGTATCCAGGCCGATCACGAGCGCAGGGACTCTACGGTTCCCCTCTATGTACAAGAGATGCTGGAGAAGAACCCCAAGATGGGCAGGAAGTCTAAGAAAAGCCCCGGCTTCGCTCATCAAGGCTTAGAAAACGACCGTCTGTTCCAGGCGTCCTACGAACACGTCAGCGGGCCGGACTGTCGTCACTGCAACGCAGATGGCGAAGTTCAACGAGACGATCGCGACACAACTGACCCTGACATCCATTACGGCATCATCGCATCCGGCAATACTCTCGTCAAAGATGCGGCAGAGCGCGATCGAATTGTCGACGACGTTGGCGGGGACTGCCTCTGCTTCGAGATGGAAGCGGCTGGCCTGATGGACCACTTCCCTTGTCTCGTGATCCGGGGTATCTGTGACTATGCCGATTCCCACAAGAATGACCGGTGGCAGCGGTACGCCTCCGCAACTGCGGCCGCGTGTGCTAAGGAGCTTCTCGCGTATGTGCCACCTGCCGAAGTACAGGAGACTAAGAGGGCATTGGAGGTGCTACAATCTGGTTAGTTATTTATTTTATCATAGGAAATGTCGACCGGCGTAATCCGAGGGTTGAATCGATGCTCATAATACCCAGTCGATCAAAAAATCGATGAAGTGCAGAAAAGTGTAGCAGATAATTACTGCTTCTCCACGTCTCTCTGTCTCTCGACCTTGAAGAAGTACTCGATCTATATAGGATAATGGTAGGGTTTTCGATTCCCAAGGTTGGTAGATCCCACTAACTTCCCAGGCATCGACCTCTGTAGGACTTATGGCGGTTCTCAGCATAGTCCCTCTCAGGAAGCATTTATACGAAGTCGCAGACAAGACCCATAAAGCCCTTGCAATCATAATCGCCTTCTCCACATGGCAACATATAAGCACCGCCGCTTATGTGCAACAGTGGTTGTTGTTTACCCTGATTGGAATGATCGGTCTTGTTCATGCTGTGCAGTTCTTGCTATTTCTGTACCGGAATACTCGCTGGGGCAAACCATTCCCTAAAGCAGATATTATAATAGATGGGGTTATCGTGCGAATAGTCCTCCAACTGCCGCGTCCGATCAAGATCGACGCTGGACAATACATCAGCCTAAGCATCATGTCCCCGGCTCTCGGCTATTGGTCGTGGGCGCAAAGCCATCCATTTACCATTACTTCGTGGTCCCTCTAGAGCAGGACAAACTAGAGCTATATGTCCAATGCCGAGGCGGGCTAACCTTACAACTTCTCGACAAGGGCGAGCGGAATTGTCTCGCATTCTTCAGCGGCCCTTATGGAAAATCGCATTCCTTGAAGGAGGCTAAGTGTGTTCTGATGTTAACCACGGACTTCGGGATTATTGCGGTCTTTCCCTACCTGAAGAAGATTACAGCTACACACAAATGCCGTGCCCACATTATCTGGCACGTAAAGAGGCTTAGCGAGTTCGCTCCACTAGTAGCCTTACTGAATGACTATCTACAGGATCCTACCCTTAGAAGGGTAAGTTGATTATTGACTGAATCCTTCCTTTTGCGTTGAGACCTGACAGACCACAGATCCTACAAATCTCCATTTACAACGAGGGTGCGGCTCACAACGAAGCTTTAGGGGCTCATGGCCGCGTAAACACTTTCCCTTGCGCGCCGAATATAGCTGAGATCCTACAAAGTGAGGTAGATGGAGATTCTATTCCGGAAGTGGGACTGCCTTCCCGTCCACCTCCCTACGATCAAGATTCACTACTGGAATCTCAAGCGCGATATCAGTCAGACAATGATCATATCCTCGTACTCGGTCAGTCTATCACATCCGCACGTTGACCTTGAGTTCAGTGTAATTGATTTGTTTGTTCTATCAGTATCAGGATCGCATGAGCTCCGTGACACAACAAGGAAAGTAGCAGGGCGATATCTGAGCCGCGGCTTGATTCTTGAGGAGCTAGATTACCAGCAAGAGTAGGGGGAAGAATACGTCTCCAGTTGACAAGCGCCGTAGAGGTTTATGTCTGGCTAGGCTAAGTTAGGCTTGTGACGAGGCAGCGCTCCATTCATCTTGTGTTGAGACGCCGACAGCCTCTGCTCTCCTTGGGCTTCGCCAGCAGACTGACTAAGAGAGCTACACCTGAAACGGCTGTGAAAAAGCCAAATACTCCACGGAAACCATAGAGATATGCTTGGAGAATCTGCGCCTTTGTATCGCTATCATCCGGAAGCAGAGAGAGTTCGGCGACGTAACTCTCACTGTGGATGGCAATTTCCTGAGATAGACCCTGCCAATCCAGTTTCAGTGCCATAACATTCTGAAAGGCAGCAGTGCCGGCCGCAACCCCTAGAGCCATGCCAAATTGCCGGAGAAAGCCATACATAGCAGCGGCGATGCCATGCTCGGGGCCGCTAGCCATCTGCTGGGTTGCAAAGTTCTGAGCGTTCAGGACCGCACCATGGCCAAGACCGAGCAGGAGGAGAGTGACTACCCAGACGACCTGGTGCGTATCTCTGTCCCAGAGTAGAGTGAGTCCCGTCGCAAGTGTTGTTAGCCCCCATCCACCCCATATGGGATAGCCGAAGTGGCTGAGCCTTGTGATAACTATGCCCGAAATTATGGAGCCTACCACTAGAGCAACCGCCACGGGTATAATGGCCTTACCGGTTTCAAGCGCGGTAAAGCCTTTCACAGATTGGAAGTAGAATGGAATGTAATAGAGTTGGCCGTATAACTAGCACGTAGTTAGCGGAGTTATGGAAAATTCCTCTCTGCAACTTACCAGAAGACCTTGAAGTAGCCCACACACGTAAGGTGCGGTTGCACGGACGCTCCGGAACAAGCGCAGATATAAGAAAGGTGACGTCTTAACGCGTGTCTCTAAGAACAGCGTAGCTGCTAAGCCACAGACACCCGCAACCAGCGGGGCAAGAGTCGGGGCGCTTGTCCAGCTGTACTGTACTCCGCCCCATGAGATGGCAATGAGAAACGAGGTAATAGAGGCGGTAAAGGAAACACAGCCAAGCCAGTCAAAATTGCTGAGCCGACTCTCTGGGATTGAAGTTTGCGGCATTAGAAGGATTGTCACAAACCCAACACCACAGAAGGGGAAGACCAAGTAGAACACCCAGCGCCAAGTGGTATATTCAGCAATCGCGCCGCCGATAGTTGGGCCGGTACAATTTCCCAGAGCCCAGGCTCCGAGTCTGTTGCGTGTTAGCGTACTGAAATCAAGAGAGGGTTACGGATTCACCCACATCATTGCGTACCACTTCGGCCGGAAGTGGAGCGGCACTATGTCCGTGAAAATGACAAGACTCAAGATAATGATGCCCCCGCCACCAATCCCCTGGAGGCATCGCCCCACAAGCATCACAGCAATACCCTGTGCAACAGAGCACAGGACAGAGCCCGCTGAGAAGAAGGCGAGAGATACAAAGAGACATTTCCGACGCCCGAATATGTCACTCAATGCCGCAGCGGAGGGCATGGAAATAGTGTTGGCAAGCAGGTATGACGTGGCAATCCAGAAGCCCCGGGGTGTATCTATTCGTAGATCGACAATAATCGCCTGCGGTACAAATTAGCTCGGAAAGATGTTCGTAAGCAGACGACGCTTACATGGAGCGATGTCACGAGGATCGAGGCATCGAGAGAGACCATCAACGAGAGAGAGGATAGTGTGGCCATGACGAGGTACTGCGCAGCGCTTGGCTTCCATTCCGCACTCGTAGCCTTGTTTACCTGGCTCTTACGAGTAGGCATGCTGTATGTTAGATGTGTTGATTGAAGTCGTGATTGAACCGTCATCTAGCAGCTGAGGGCTTTTCTATTTACTAAATAACCATTTTAGGCTTTTATGAGTGCGAGGGCCGAGGTCGGTCTTGTGACACCTGTCATGCATCCAATATTGGAGAGGGCTGATGGTCTTCCTCCGTGTCATAACACTCCGCCACTTATAGCTCCTGGATGCGAAATGCTATATAAGCTCTGAGACCTGAATGCTAGGGGCGCTTCTCAGTCGCAGCGTCAATCAGCCACAAGTTTTAGAAAATAGTATCAACCAGAAGAGCTCCGCACTACGATGAAGATCAGGCGATTCCTTCTTACCACTGTGCTAGTCTTGCAGACTGGTATAGTGGCTGGCCAAGTTGACTCTGTTGCGCAGCTTGTGGCTGCTGCACCAGAGTGTACTGTCAGTACTACTGTCTACCCAGGTTGCGGTGCTAACTCTTGCTGCAGCGCTTCTGTATCGTCGATGCGTTTGCCGCCAGAGGCTGCAATGGCACCGATCTTGCGAGCTGTCTTTGTGCTGATATAGCCCTCCAAGCTGGTCTGTCTGAATGTGTACAGACTAGCTGTACCTTCGCGGATCAGGTAGGTAAGGCTTCCCAGACGAGGGACTGGGCTTGACTAACTTGACTCAGTCGCCGGGAGGATCGAGACGGAGATCTGCGCCAGCTATCCCAAAGAATCTCGCAGCTCAGAGGTCATAAGTGTACCCATTGCGGGATGTGTCATTGTCTTTCCTGTTATAGCACTCCGTCTTTACAGCAGGCTCCGCTACGCCAAAGGGTTCTCAGGCGATGACTTCGCGACAATCGCTGCAGCCGTAGGTCATCATCTAGACAGCCTTTCACCGATACTAACGAAGCACAGATACTCTTAGCAGTGCTAGCTGCGATTAACTTGTATAATGCGAGTATCGGCTTCGGCATGCATTATTGGACTATCCCGGTAGAGACGGGGACCTTGATATTAAAGGTGAGACCAGTCCTGCCCGAGCGCTCTTCCCGTAAGCATGCTGAACATCCTTACTAGTTATTCTACTTGAACTCCATCGTCTACATGGTACTTCTCGTCGTCGGAAAGATGGCCATCTTACTAGTTTATCTGCGGATTTTCCCGGTTCCAACGATCCGCCACATTACCTGGGCTCTACTCTGTCTTCTTCCGGTACTTGGGGCTGTCTATACTCTTCTTACGGCTCTTCAGTGTATACCAATCGAGTCGATCTGGGACCGGCTTATTACGGCCCGGCGCTGTATCGATATTAATGCTGTTATTTATAGTAGAGGCATTCTGAGTATTGTCGAGGACGTCGCCATTCTTATCTTACCCATGAAGCAAATCTGGCAGCTGCAGATCCAACGACACCGTCGAATAACCCTGGTCGCCCTGTTCAGTATTGGTTCCTTGTAAGCATTCCCGGCTTGAGGACGCTCTTGTGGCGGAAGGCTTACTCATTGTCAGCGCCTGCCTTACATCTATGATCCGCATGAAGTACGCCGTCAGTTACAGCACGACTTTTGATGCTACTTGGGACGGCGTGGACATCGTCGTGTGGTCGGCAGTGGAGCAATTCTGCGCGTTGCTATGTGGAAGCCTACCAGCACTACGACCGCTCGTCGCGAATGTTCTAGTGAGGACACAGGCTACTATGAGCAACGAGATGACCTGCGTAGGCGCCCAAGGCCAGTCAGCGCGAAGCAAGACTCCAGCGTCTCCAGCGCCTCCAGCGTCTCCGAATGCATGCAATCAGAAGCCACCTCCAGCGTCTCCGAATGCATGCAATCAGAAGCCACCTCCCGGTGTAACGACGTCTGCCAATGAGCAAGAGGCGTCCTCAGATGCGATCCTTGTCACCAACACTGTGAGCGTGAGATTTCAAAGTGGAACGTGGCTCGAGGAAGGCTCTGAGAGCGATGGCCGCGACTGTCCAGGCAAAGGTAGAAGTGCAGTAGAAGCAACGCGCAATCACGAGGCCAGGTGTGAAGCACAACCCTGAGAGCGTTTTATAGAGCGACACAGGCTTCCATGGTCCCTGTAACCTCGAAGTCGAGTCGAACTGAGCCCGGGTGAGGTGTTATTGAGCTGCTGATTGTTTTGTGCAGTAAATATGCCGAGCTAGGTACGATCAACCATCAAATAGATCTGTATTGTCATGAAGTATCGTTGCCGTGATAGCTAGGCTGGGAGCTGGTCACAAGTATCTACGGGAAAGGCCGCCCTGAACGGGACACGACCCCGGCCTCCTGAGCTTTATGTCGTTGACTGTGGCAGTGATCTTGAGCCTGGCAAGCGCAGGTTTACGCCCAATCCTCCCGCAGAGGCAAGGCCTGGTCGAGTATGGTACTTCCCAGCAGGCGACAGCGACATCTCGCTCGAGACATGTCTCGTGTAGGCCTCGGGTCCTCGCAACAAGCGAGGAACAGTGCTGCCCCGCAAAAGCCTTCCCCAGCCCCTGCTTCCATGCTAGGGGCCGTGGACAGTGGTCTGTCCGCATGTAGATGAGTGAATGGAAAGTAACGCTCTTGGAAAGCGTGGCAGGCGCTGGGAGGGTTACCGTAGTGACCGCTATGTGTGTCCGCTTTTCAGACACTAGTTGACGTTTCCGCACGCCCTAACAAGATGTGGCGCATTGTGGCGTCTACTGTGCAGATTGTCCCACGATAAGTATCCTCCAGAAGTGGAGTACTGAAAGGCGATTGAACGGCGCTTAAGTTCCAGTGAGCGATCTGAACACCTATCGCTGTCGGATAGGGCTCTGACCACACTCCAAAGTGCAACTATCATGCTGTTATAGACCACATGAACCAAGAGCCGTATTAGTTGTCACACTATCCGCATGCACACGAATGAAGGACCACTATTGATGGATTAGATCGTCGTAATTCCACATTTTCGGTGGACACAAGCACCTACGCTGTGGTGACCCAAACTAACAGGGGATCATTTGTCACTAAGGGGACAGCGCCCACAAAAGTGGCCACATGGCCAGGCCACGCCAAAGACAAGGGCGGGCTACGGAAGGTCGGCAGGCAGCACATTAGAGAAACATGATACTTTAGTCATCAGCCAACGGTGGGTTGGCGGCTCTCTGATAGAAAACTGTCGCAAAACAGGCAACAAGCTGTCCGCACTTCTGGCTTAAGCGATCGCAGGGAACGACACGTTGAGAGGCAAAGGACATATAGAACAAAGGATTCCCTAGATAAGCAGTTGTTACCTTCGCACTGCAATCAATCTGGTAACATTTCCACCCAAGACTTGACCGAGTCACTCATTTGTTCGAGAGTTCTACCTCTTCCGAGAGACACGACTACATCGACTCGGAAAGACTAGGACAAGCGCGAATTTAGTATCTCCTAGGCATATCTACCCGGACGGCCAGATCGACACGTGCCTACTGACAAGCGATTTTGATACCGCTGTACAGTCTCTAGCAAAATCGCCTTCCGCTTTTCATTCACTGCTTAATTGTTTGGGGACCCGTTTTTGGGCTCTTGGCGCTTACACCGTGCCTGTCCCCACGGTCACTGTTCGACATGGTCCAATACAGTGGAAGTCCGCTTCCTACGTAGCAAACTCAACAAAAGGACCCCCACTCCCAACATATGCTAGTTACGACGGGGTCAATCGATCCTCTGAATGCCGAGGCAACCGTCATTGCTTGCCATCTTTAGGTTTCTGGCGGCCTTTACGCAGTCAGTCCCGTTTCTCAACGCGTCGTCATTTTGCATTTTGACCGTTCACATGTCAAATTATCACCCATCTGCGCGTTTCCAGGTGGATGCCCCGGCCCTAACGTTCATTGCGCCGGAAGATGGGGCCACCATCGGGCTCTTGTCGATTCAACGAAAAGGCACGCATCTGCAGCTCATTGACTTGGCCGTCGGCAGATAAACAGGCTCTTAAATATTACTCCCTCCGCGCTACTCGAGATGCTCCTCGACGGCATTGTCAGCCATTCGCCATGGCATTAAAATCTCTCTGGGACTACGTTTTCATCCGGACAAGCATCTTCCTCCTGCACCTGGTCGCGCCCCTGAGCATTTTCTATTCGCTGGCCAGATGGCTCGTCTATCCCCTGTTTCACGTCCCCCGAATGCTAGAGATCTGGCTCGCACTCGAGGCTGTCTTCTACCTTGTCGTCTACCTTCCGCTCAGCCTCCACCTCCAGAGAGCCACGACATATCCCACGGCCGTCTGCCGTAGCGATCGCCGCAAATTGTTCCGGCGCTGCCACGACAACATTCCAGATCCGGAACGCTACCTGACGAAATGGTTCCGGAATGCGCCGGCGGCTGAGATCAAGAGGGAGAACGTCAAGGACTTCTTCCGATGGGCCTTCTTAAATACGGGAGACCCTGACTGGGAATACGACGAGGAGCTGGAGGAGTATGCCGGCGAGATGGAGAAGATGCTGGGGAGGAAGTTCGAGCCCGGGCGCGGTAACGCAAAGTGTCTGAGATTGACCCTCGACAAGGTCGAGATGTTACACCGGAGCTTGACATGGTATCTGGTAATTAAGTGACGACTAGGAAATGCGCTTGGAATTGCCCCTCTGCGACCAAACCAGCTACTAATTTACCCTATCCTATAGTGCGTGTTTATTGTCGACACACTGGCCTCCGGCTATCTGCACTACCACTCCTTCGACTTCCACCACACGTCGTTTCTTACCGTCTTCCCCTTACGCCCCCTCACACTCTTCGGCACCCATTCCTCCCCTGCACAGAGTCTGACTTACTGGCACCGGCTACACACCTCCAAGACAAGACTCCCGGTCCTGTTTATCCACGGTATCGGTGTTGGGCTCTACCAATACATAGACTTCCTGGCCGAATTAAATGCCAACGACGGTGACGATTCGTCCGACGGACAGGTGGGGATCATCGCTTTGGAGATCATGCCTGTGAGCTCCCGCATAACCGGAGAGGCAATGTCGCAAGAAAAGATGGGCGATGAGGTGCATTGCATAT